TAAATGGTGACAGCCCCGTAGTCCAGCTCGACGGGTGTCCACTCTCCCATCCGTCCCTGGAGGAATGGCTTTACATATAAAATGTATTTCCTTTTTTGTTGTTGTCTGTTTTGTCTTTTCTTTTTTTTTTTTTTTCTGGTTGATTGATGTTATGCAATTTCCTCTCATGAGGGAGGGAAGTGTGTGTGTGTGTGTGTGTGTAGGATGCACACACAACATGTGGCCTCCCGGATTTTCCCGCAACCGAAAGGGAGGGGGAAGTCCTTTTTCTTTGCCTTGCTGTGCGTATTGTGTACGCGTGGGTCGGTAGGCATGCATGTACGCATTAATTTTTGACGTGTTATTCTTTTTTTTTTTTTCCTTCTTTTTTAGGGAATTGGAGGGGGAAGGAGGGGCGCCGTAGTTGTGATGCCCAATTTTCTCCAGAATCAGCGGTTACTTCTGCGTCTGCTGCTGCTGCTCCTCTCTAGCGTCATTCTATGTCTTCTGTTTATTGCCCAAGGGGAGCCTGAGCCACTACGTGTCGTGTTCCATGCCGGCTTCCAGCAGCTGAAGCAGAGGGAGGTCGATGTTTGGATCGGTGGTGCCTTCGGGGCGACGAACGGCGAGGCGACGCTGGGGGTGGAGTGGAAGAGGGGCTTCGATGCGGTGACGCTGCGGCGGGCCCGTGACTCGTACCTGATGTGTGACAGGGGAAGGGCGATGTTTGTCACACGCGTCCACGCCGACACCACCACGTCGGAGCTGTGGAGGCCGCACATCATGCATGACGGCACAATCGCCCTTGCGTCAGTCGTCAACAGCCGCTACCTGCGCCTCAAAGACGACGGCAAATTGTGGTGTGATGCCAACGAGATTGACGGCGCGGCATCATGGCGGCAACTTATGCCCAAACAAACCGCCTGCCTGCGTGCGGGTAATGCGGGGGATGAGGACAAATATACGGCAGCCTGTTGGTCGATTATTGAGGCCGAGACGCTTACACGCCCGACGATTCTGTTTGGGACATTGAAGCCGCTGGAGAGGGCAGAGCCCAAAAATGCTTCAGACATGTACGACCCCTTTATCATCGCGAAAAGGACGTTGATAAATTGGGCGAGACTTCCTGGAGTGAAACCTGTCGTTTTGAGCGAAGATCCTTTTTCTCAAAGCCTTATTGAAACCATCAACGCGGCGTATGCGGGGCGACCCGGTTTTTCTTCGATTGAAATTATTAGTGAATTTGAGATGCAAAAAGATTATGGTCAACCCACCTACCGTGGATTGTTCCGGTCGGTGATCGAGCACTATCCCTTTGCGAAGTCTATCATGTATGCCAATATGGATATTCTCTTCACTTCTTCTTTGGCGAATACGCTTGATAAAGTACAGCATGTTTACGAGAGGAGGAAAAAGTGGAAGAATAAGAAGAAGAAGCTTCAGAATTCGCCGTATCAAGGATGGTTTATCGTTGGACGTCGTATCAACGTGGATGTCCCAACAAATTGGTCCATGGATACGGAAAATTGGGATTCCGCAATAGAGACACAGCTTAAGTCGCAAGGAAAGATGTTTTCTTCAGATGCTGAAGATTACTTTGCCATGAGCGTGGATCTTTTCAATTGGTATGAAACGCCTCCTTTTATTGTAGGTGGAATTGTGTTTGACAATTGGTTAACATCGCGTGCTGTGCTGTTAGACATCGCGGGCAAAGCACTGGCGGTAGATGTCACCGGGACATTAACGGCAATTCACCAGAATCACGGAATGAACGTCTATGCGAGTTTGTTGAAGCCAAAGTCGACATTTAACATTGAACTTTTAAAGAAAAGTGGTGGGATGCCGTACCGTCTCACTGAGAACTGCCCTCATTACACGCGTTATGGGCGTCGCGGTAAATTCATCACGGTAGCCGACAGAGGGCCGCAAAAACCCAACTGGGTGATACCCGACTACGATGCTGCTGCTGCCAAAATGAGTGCGTCTAACAATAGTTTTAAACGGCCACCATCATGAATTTTTTGGTTTGTTTGTTTGTTTGCCTTACATTTCTTTTTTTCTTTTTTTAATTTGTGATTGTTTGTAATGAAGGCAAATGTTTTTCTTTTCTGTTATTTATTTGGTAAAAAATCTTTACTGCTGGTGCTGCTGCTGCTGGTGGTGGTGGTTTTGGTTGTTAAAATTTACAGTGTTTTCCTTTGGAGAAATCGATTTTCATATAAAAACAACTTTGAAGTCGATTTTTTGTTTTTTGTTTTTTTTTTTTTTTTGGGGGGGGGGGGGGGGGGCGACATGTTTTTTATGCGTGTGTTTGTTTGTTTGTGTGCATTTCTGTCTGTCTGTCTGTGTGGCGCTGTTGAGAGAAGCGTCTTGGCGTATTTCTGTGTCACGTGCGGCGGGCTGCTTTAGGAATTTGTGAAGCGGATGATTGCGGGAGGGCCGACTAAACCTTAATTAATGTGCATGCATGCATATATTTATATTTATATATTTCTTTACGACAATTTTTTTTTATTATTTTATGAGTTTTGGATTGACCGCCGTGCTGGGAGAAAAGGGAATCAAATGGCATCTGGACGATTTTTTTAAATTGTTTTTTTTAAATTTTATTTTGTCATCCCACCCACCCCCTTTTGATTCCCCACCACGCGGCGGGGTGTTTTGTCTGCAGGACCCCAAATTCTGCCACGTCGTAAGTAATAAATGTCTATATATATAAATGTGTGCATGTATGTATGTACATGTATACATATATCCCATCCGAATAGAGTGAGCGGGCCACGATTGTGGCTAACGGGGATGATACATGCGTATATTATTACACAAATATACACTTCCTGGGTGTTACACTTTGAGGGTATTATGGTGAACCCCCACTCCTATTCCATTCATCCCTTTTTTTATTCCTAACTGGTTTGGTTTCTATTACTGAGAGACTCCGGGATTCGGGCAGTGGCCCAGAGGATTATTCTTTTATTTTTTTGTTTTATTTTTTTTTCTTCTTTGGTGAGGAGGGGTTAGGTGGGCTTTTCTCTTTTTTTTTTTTTTTTTTTTCTTTGAAACAACAAGTTGGTGAAGAACAGTTGGACCGGAAACGGAAAAACGGCTTCTTGTGGGGGGAGTGAGAGGAGGGGCAGGGGCAGGGGCAGGGGCAGGGGGGAAAGGAGACACAAGAACGTTAAAGGACCACAGACGTGTATATAAATAAATAAATAAATAAATATTATTATTATTATTGTTATTATTATTAAATATATAATATTACATCATATATTATATTATATTTTAGTTATTTATTTAAATTACTTGTTGATATTTATTCACATAGAAACAACGTAGGTTTGCGTGCAGGAAGAGACGGTAGAAAAGGTATTGACAATGTCATATCAACTTTATTTACACCGTAGTTTTGATATTCAATTATCTCCTGTGGCGGCGGCGATTATTGACTGGGCACCTACGCGTCGTGATGGTCAGGTGAGTTCTGATGTATCGTCTGATTTATCATCGTCAGGTGAGTCTACAAATACCATGGGAAATAGAAAAGGGAGTAAACCCGCTCGGGATGGGGAAAATGAAGACAAAATGGGGAAGTCGATGTCTCGCTCACATGCCGTGGAAAGTCCCTATGCGACCGGTAGCAGCGAAACTGTGTCTTTGGAGGCAACTCAGAAGGCACATGGTCCCACAGGTGCCTCCATGCCCGATGGTGGCCCACGGGAAGTGCGATCCAGCCACAAGCGTATGTATCCTTGGTTGGGCCAACGTCGTTTGTTTTTGTTGAATTCCTACGCAGTGGTGCCTTTGGTTGCACGTGGGAGTCTCAGCTTGAACGCAGGACTGTTTGCGGGTTTTGGTGTCACAGGTGGCGCCTCATCTCCCGCATCCTCCATTGGGACGTCATGTGTCTCACCGTCCACTGGGCGTGCCTCCATTTACGCATCGGACGTGCTACAGTTGGAGTGTATTTGGGGTCGGATGCAGTGGGCAGGTGTGTTCAACGTTGTCTGCTTTTCGTGGCCATCGGCATCGTTGCCTCTCTGTGAATTTATCGGCATGACTCCCAGAACGGATTGGTCGATGCAAGCGGATCGACTGCTCTTCAACTGGAGTGGTTTCTGCCGCGTCTTTGTTCGGCGTGGACGTCATTCTCGTCGGGATTCTTTGATTTCATTGAACTCCCCGGCGGAGTCGGCCCTCTCGTCTCATGGCGATTTGAACACGGCACAGTTGTGTGCCGCGAAGAAGAATCCGCCACCGACACCCCCGGCAACTTTGACGTCACGTGGGGACACGGCAATCTCCGGGCAAGATGAGCACCACGCACACCCGCGTGCTGTGAAGAGTCCCCACAGAACGGAACGCCCGAAGGCTGCTGCTGATAATAATGATGATAATAATAATAAAACCAACAACAAGAATAATCATCATCATCTTACTGATGATGATGAGACTCCACACGATAGCGACGGAGGCCAAATCTCCAAAAGACGTAAGAGTCGCGACACAACGGCATTGAGTCATCTGGCGAGGAAAAGTTCTCAGACCACGGCACACGGCGGGGAAGGCTACAGGTGGTGGCGTCTGGAGGAGCTCCGATGCGGGGCAGGCTTGGCCGTAAAAAACGACCTAGCGAGTGGTGTGAATTTGTACTGTGGCTGTAGTGCTCACTTTGGTAGGGCGTTAACTCTCTCTACGCATGTGGACGTGCTTCGTCGCGCGTGCTGCTCCATCACATCCACCACAAGCTCTCTCGATCTGGCCGCACGTCTGCGAATGAACCTCATTACTTGGCACCGCACCGAGTTGGATTTCGGTGTTGGCTGGCGACCGTTCAAACAAGTTTCTGGCCTTACCTGTCGACTTTCTCACTCCATGGGCCGTACATCTGTCGGCATCACCATCAAAGATGTCGGCACTCAGTACAAGCTTTTGCGTTGCAGCCGGTGTACCAAGAGAGGAGAGCATGAAGAGCGCGAGGAGCAAGAAGGACGATCGTGGCCGTGGCGGCGACGTGACTCTCATGATGACAGCATCTCACAGGAGAATGTTGGGGGAACGGCTTCTGTTCCGACATCATCCACAACATGGTCCATGTCGGACTGGTACGACCCGTACGTTGGGTGGGTATGGCGGTTGGGTGGATCGATTTTCAGCTCCGATTCACTCTCTTCTTCACCTTCTGCCGCCTCTCCCGCGGAAGGTGTGGCGGCGCATGCCCCGGGCCTCCGCAAACGTCTGTCGCAAGCCATGCGAGCGGGTCTTGACTACGCGGATGCACTCTCTCGTCAGACAGAATTTGACCTTACTCTGGGTCTGGCGGAGGAACGAAATTATTCAAGAAAACCGCGCTGCTTTGTTGTTCTCTCGGCTCATTAGATGGGTAGGGGGTGGGAGGGAAGGAAAGAGAAAGGACCGGTGCTAGTGGAGGGGTGATGATGACGCGCCAATTGACGACGGCCCTCTGCTGATCCCTTTATTCCCTCCCCATCTCGGTCCGTGTTTGTAGAATGTTTTATTATTCGACTCATTCCATGCCAGGTGTTGTGGTCCTCTTGCAGCGTTAACACCTTCCCCTTTTTTTTTCTTTTTTTTCTTCTCTCATTGTTGTCTTTTATTCAATTTTTTATTGTGTTGTGGGCGTGTTATTGGGTGGATGTTTTTTTTTGTTGTTGTTAATTTCATGTATTTTCCATTCGTGTGTGTTTGTGTGTATTTTATGTCACTTTCTTATTAAATTGATAGGGGATGGTGGAGGCAAAAAATTGGCCGGCGGACTTCTTCCCCTGCCTCCTTCGTGTGAGTAGAGGCACTGGGAACCTGCGTTTTGTTTTTTGTTTTTTTTCTTTTTTTTTGGGCTTTTTTTTTCTCTGTGGCTTGCTTTGTGCACACACACACAAAAAAAAAAAAAAAACATGCCTTTTGTGAGGAAGGAACACAACGCCCCTTCACCAATTGTTTTCCCCGCTCACCCTCTGTGCGACGGTCTCATTGCGCTCCCAAGACGCAAATAGGCGCTGAGACGCAAATCTTACATCGGGGTGGAAAGACAAAAAAGGAAACAGGTGAAGGAGGGGAAGAAAGTGAAAAGAAAGGGCCTCATAAATTGAGCCACTCTTCATCAATAGAAACACCTTATATAAATACGTATATACATATAATAAATATACATAAATATATAGTTGGTTAGTTACTACAGAAACTTGGCTAGCGGTGGTTGTAGAAGATGCAAGCGAAATCGTTGGATATTCTGCACGTCTGTGAAGAAGGCGATAAGGAGCCCCCTTTGGGAAAATACCCGCCAGAAGATTTTTCCCTGAGCTGCTACTCAGCAATAGAAGGAGGAAATTGTACCGAAAATGGCTCTGCAGAAGTTCCCAGAGGTAACGGGAGTGGTTGCATGCAGTTTAGAGAGACGTCCAATGGGCCGAACGGCTTTGAGACGCTGCCGGTGATGGTTAATTCCCCCAGGAGGGGGTACGATTCTGTGGAAATTGCTAATTTGAAGACGGACTATCGCCCCATGACATCTCCTAGGGATGGCGACCCCGAATACGAGTATGTACTCTGTATTGTAAACCCCGGTTCAGGGGAACGTGGCGTCGCAGAACACGTGTTGGATTCTGTACGTGCGGTTATTGGGGCGGATCGTGTAGTGACGCTTGACGCGGCGCTCTTTGCGGACCCAACCCCGCTTTTGGAGGCTATTTGCCGCCACGCCGTACGTTCCATTTCTCAGGAAAGAAAAAAATCAACCTTGACGAGAGTCACTGCCGGTGGCAACAGCGACGCGGATGCTCGTGGCGATGGAGTTTACAGTCGGGGGTTGGAAAGGCGCGGCACTGTCATTGTTTGTGGTGGTGACGGCACGGTGTCGTTTGTCATGGAGCAGCTGGACGCCGTGCGTGACATGATGCAGCGGACGGAGACGGGTTCCTTTGAAGCGGGCGCAAGGGCTAGGGACGGTGCTTTAAAACCGCGTTTTGTGCTCCCTGCCGTGGCGGTTCTTGCAATTGGAACGGGCAATGACTACTCCAACTGTGTGGGGTTTGGTAACGGCTACTCGCGTCATAAACTCTCGTGTCTCTGTTGTTGCATGGAGAATGCCATTGAGCCGCTTATTAGAAACGTTGTCAGTGCCCCCGCGATTCCTTTTGACCGGTGGAGAGTACAACTGGTGCCACTCACGGCCATATGGAAGCAACAGGAAAGGCAGCGTCAAAAGAAACAGACACCCCATTTAACGTTAGGGATGAAACATGAAGAACTCGTTTTATCTGTGAATCCGCCAAGGGGCGACATGGAGGAAAAGAAGATACAAGAGGAGGGGGGAAAAGAAGAGGTGACGGTGACGGAGGACACGGTGGATTTATACGCATTGGACTGGGATGCATTGGAGGCCGATGAAACATGCCGGAAATATAATTTTATCAATTATTTTAGTATAGGCTTTGATGCGTATGTGCTTCAAAAATTTGATTTTTTTAGAAGGAAACATCCGAAGTTTTGCTCGACACGAATGAATAATAAACTGGTGTATGGCGTGTACGGTTTGAAGGCTGTGACCCGTTGTTCATCTCTGCGCCCATGCATTCCACAGATATGTGTTCCACAATTGGCGCAGCATTCCCCTATTCACACAGAAGCATCCCAAAGATCTTCTGCACAGACGACGGAGACAAAATCCATGATGACCTTGTCGTTGCCAAAAGGCACCAAGACGTTGCTTGTCACGAACGTTGGTTCGTACGCTGCAGGCACACGTCCATGGAAGGAGGGAAAAGGTAAGTTGTATCGTGATGATCATCTTGCACAGCCAATGATCATCACTCCTGTCTGTGTGAATGATCATAAGATGGAGGTGCAGGCTGTCGGGGGTATTTTTCAGATGGGGTTACTACAGCTGGGGATTGGCAAGGGGGCCTCCAAATTGGCACAGACACGGGAAATGTTCGCGTTTGTTCTCTGCAACCCAACAGACATCTCCAGGCGTGAAAACTCGCAGTACGGTGAGGAGATGTTGGCTGGAAAAGAGGGGGTCGAGGAGCACACACCCCTTTGTATGCAACTTGATGGTGAGGCGATTGGGAGGATTAACTGCCCAACTGTCGTTCACATTACGGAGTTGCATCGACCCCGTGTGTATGTACGCTGCCGCAACCCGAGGGTGGTTCGGCACCCCATCGAAGACGAAGAAGACGCATTTTAGGTTTTTTATTGGAATGTTGTATCCCAGATGTGTGTATGTACCTTCAAGGATTTTTGCTGTTTGCCATTCACCGTCTTCCTTTATAAAAAAGAAAAAAGAAGACACATTGGTCGAATGAAAAGGAATGGATTGCTCTATCAACATTCTCACTTTCATATTTATTTATTTACGCTAAACCATTTTTTTTTTTTTCTTCTTCTTCTTCTTTTGGGGACACAGCGGCTGTTGACTTTTGCATGGGGTATATTTTTGTGTATGCGTGTCTGTTTTTCTCTCTTTTTATATACGGTCCATTTATTATTTTGTTCACGGTGTCACTGAAGGCGGTGTGGTGATGAGTGGTTGGCAAATTGCATGCATGGGATACACATGCTCCCCTTATCTGTGCACCTTTTATGGGCATTTGCTTTCTTTGCTGGGCTTTTTGTTGGTGTTGTTGAACGCTGGTGGGAGGAAGGGGGTGGACAGTCACAAGCGTGCTTGATAGGGGTGTGTGCGAGTGCAGCTCATTCGGGGATTCTTGCTTTTATGTGTATAACTTCTATCTTTCTTTTTTTTTTTTTTTTTTTGGTGAATTCACGTTGTAATCAGTAACGAGTGCAGTTCCTTTTATTATTTCATGGTTCCCCATCTCCCACTTACTCCCTACAGACAACATCATTTTACTGAAGGAAATCCGGCAGTTGAGGACCGTAAATATGCACATTTTTTTTTTTTCTTGTGTGTGTGTGTGTGTGTGTGTGTTTGGGCAAACCGCCTTTCTGGAACTGTAAAAGGAGATGTCGGGTTTGTTTGGACTTCCACCCCTCCTCTCCCCCGAAGTGTCATCTCCCCTTTGTTGTGGTCATTTCTCCCTTTTATGTAGGAATAGAGGGACAGGGCATCTCTCACCCAAGCGTGTGTATATTACACATACACATATATATATATCCCATTTCCATTCTGGTAGTGTTGCCGTGCTTGTGGCGGTCTGAGAGAGAGAGAGAGAGGGGGAAGGTGGAGAATAAAGGAAGGGCCACTTTATGGCGATTCACACGCCATGGATTTTCTTTGCGGTTATTGGTGTGCCGCTCTTCATGGTATATACAAAAGCGAAACGCATGGACGCAAAGGAAACTCATGAGATTCAAATGCGTGTGAAGTACCGCGCTGAGTTTTGGAGAAAAGGCAATGAATTTGTTCGGCTCCATGCCAACAATGTGCAGAAGCAACTGATAGATACCGCAGATAAGATGATTGGAGTGGAAGTCCCAGGGTCCTCTTTAGCTGCATCGGAGAATGATGTGAAGCCATGGTGGCGTGTGTGGGCAGTAAACCAGCAATAAGGCATTAAAGGCGGTGGTGAAGCAATAAGTGAGTAAATTTGGCACGACGGGTTAAAAATGAATGATCCCACACTTTCACTCATGCATGCATTCACTTATCATCATTATCATATCCTTGATTTAGTGCCCCACGTGTAATGTCAATTCCCTTTCATAATTACACATTCGTCGGTATTTTCCTTTATATCGGACTCCCTGCGTTGACGCGGATGATGATGATGATGATGTGTATTGTTTTTGTTGTCGTTATTGTTATTTGTCTTTTCTGCTGGTTGCGTCTATGCGTTCGTCATGAAGTTATTTTCCTTTTCTTTTTTTTTCTTTTTCTGCGTCTTCTGTAAGCGATGACTCACTGGGGTGTCTCTCTGTTTGTTGACATTTAAATCATATTGCATGGAAAAGGCATTACTTTGCTTTTTGTTGTGTTTTTGTTTTTCTCCTGTTTTTATAGCATTATATATATATATATATATATCCGGAATATTGTGTGTTGTGACGTAGTAGGAGTAGGAATAGTAGCGGTGGCGATACTGCTCTTATAACCTCCCATTCTTTCTCTCTCTCTCTCTCTCTCTGTGTGTGTGTGTGTGCGCGCAGAGAGAGGGGAGTGGTTTTCCCACTGAGAAGGTGGGAGAGGCCACAAGAAAGAAAGAGGCCGTTTGGGGTGGGGTGTGAGGAAAAGTGGAGGAGGAGAGATAAAAATGGGCTGCCGCCAGTCCGTGGCAAAACGGCCCGTGGACCCGCAGGAGGCGGCGGCGGCGGCACAATACGGGGAGTCCGGCAAATTCAGCGAACCCTGCAACGCCTCCAGCGCCGCGGCAATGGAATTTACGATGCGGGTTTCCGCGAAAAAAAAAGTGCATGACGCGGGGAACACTACCCCCCACGCGGGCGAGCAGCAGGCGACAAGGGGAAAAGTCCGATGGGTCAGCACGAAAAAGGACTTTGCCGCGTCTCACCGGGAGCTGCTGGGACGCTGCTGGGAGACACACGACATGGAGCGACTCTCCACCTTACTCGTGCGCAACGCCCCGGTGAGCCTGCAGGAGACGACAACAAGCGCCAGCTTTGCGTGGGCCTCTACGCAACGCGAGGATGGGTCATCGATGACAATTTTTTCACCCAATGCAATCACCGTGTCGTCGCTTGCACCATTAGATGGACGCCGCACGCGCTCCGCACGCCGCAAACGGGCTTTACCACACCACTCACGTTGGGTCTCTTTACTCCACACCTTGTCGGAGCTGCACCTTGGGGGTGGGGAAACCGGTGAGCACGTTCCCACCTCATGTGCGCCCGCGCATGCGCGAGAGGGTACGGGGGCATGCAAATTGAGCGGAATGCGCGGGCATATGCATCCACTCTCCGGCAGCGGGTCTCCAAATGACGCTGATGTCGGGAGTTGTAGCGCCCATGTGGATCATGGCGCCGCGACAGGATGTGGGTATCCTGGGGCGAAGAACGTATTTGCCCTCCGTCTCTCAGAGATGCCTTCGACAGGAAAGGGTACGTCATTCCTGCGGAAGCGTAAGATGAATCCCTGTATGGGTGTGTATGCCCAACGATGGGATCGTGTAGAGTTCTTTTCACCAAATATTCATTCTATTGCCATTGCTGTGGCACAAACGCAGCCGATTTCTGCCAACTCCTTTTTTACGAATGTAACAAGTCCCGGGTCTCCACTTTCTAGACTGAAAGAAAGTCACGCGACGTTCAATATGTCATTTGATACAACCAAAATGCCTGCACCTGTTCTTTTAACCGAGAGTCTCTCGTCCACCGTCTCGCAGATTTCTTTAGGGAGTCCGAGAAACGCCGAGCATCCGACGCGTTTTCCAGAGAGCAGTCTTTACTGTCATTGTCTTGCATTGCCGGCAAGTCACATACAAGAGCTGCAGGCAGGTGGGGAGCTCATCCCGACAAGTTTTCTGTCGCCCTTTGCTTCCACATCTTTTGGCGGAAATGCGTTGGAAAAGACCACTGTAGATATAGATGGATCGCCCTTGCATGATGCAACTATTTGCTCAGGGAATGCTAAAATGACCCTTAACAACAACAACAACAACAACAAAAGGAGTGCGTCGACTGCCAATATAGAAGCGAATGTACCACGCGCCTCTGTTTATGGGACGCAGGGGAAAACGGACTTACAGAAGCTGAACTTAGGGGTCCGGGAGCTCATTTCCGCAGTTGACGAAAAGAAAAAGACGTCTCCTCTGCGAGAAGATACGGGGGTTCACACGACGAACATGTGTTCATCCTCCGAATTACAGCAATCACACGCGCCAAAGACGATCCTCTCAGGTATTATTGTCAGCAGTTTTGATCTATCCATTGATCCTTTCCGCTGGAGGGAGGAACAATATAAGTGCAACACTATCAAATATAATGGCACGAGGTCATGCGTTCGAGAACAATTTAGGGAGGGAATTGTAACACGTGTCATGTACGGTGGGGTATTCGTTGTGGAGTGCACCAGTCATTTGGCTCTGCAGAAGCTGGAAAAGGTGCTTAAATTGAAAAAATGGTCCGATAGAAAAAAGAAAATGTCGGAATTGTCAAAAATAACAACGTTTCCTCGAGACCACAATAGTAATCATGTCCGTGATGGGGCAGGAAGGGTGACATCTAGCAGCTGTTATAATTCCGGTATGGAATGTAGCAACGGTGGAAGTTTCTTCGAATACAAGTCGTGTAATGACGCCAATCAACTTGAATTGTACCGTGTTGCGTACTGCGTGGGTGGGATGCAGATTAAGTGGGAGTCTTACCCCAAGACGGAGGAACAATCCCCTCGTTCAGACATGATCGGCACGCATACAGGATGCCCCACACTGACCCCGTGGATAAATCTGAAAACAGTGATGAAGCTTGCACATTCATGGGCACGGCATCTACTCTCCACCCCAGAGTTGGCCGAGCCGCTTGCAGTGTATGTACAGAGTTTTGTAGGTATTATTCCCGCCTTACGGTTGGTATCCGACTGGAATTGTCAACTGATGCAGCTGTTTGCGGAATCCGAGGATCAAGACGATGATGGTGATGATGATGATGAGTTGAGCACGGACTGCGGGGCGGGTATTGAGAGAGGTGGCCTTCCAGGAATGGAGAATAACTTTGGGGAAGCTTCGTCTTTTGAAGACTCCTCAGATCTCTCTACCAAAACCGGTGGCGGTCTCTCTGTTCCAACCGTATTGCTTACATGTCGTCCAATGACACAATATTTTAAAAGTGATGGTCACGTCTCGAAATCAACACTGAGAAGCAGTGCAAACATCAGCCTTATTACATCCAAGAGAACAAGCGACACAGCGAGGAGGCCATCTTCCATAGAATCCCTACAAAAGCATCCAAGAGCAGAGAGGAGTAGGAGAGCAACGGCAAGAGCAATAGACGAGTCGGTTCCAAAAGTCGACCAGTGTATATCTTCAGCACGGCAGCGGGAAGGAGGTTTCTTGACCCCGCGTGCGAGAGGCGACAACCCACATGTACCGCGAACAGCAAAAACAAACGAAAAAAAGGAAGGAACAAATGAGAGGAATGTGCCTGTCACGGACCCGATGATGAATGAGCAAACAAAACTGGAATTTCTGACGCCCTACCCACCACCCCCATTATCTTTTGAGGGGGAAGACGGTGAGGCATTCTGGGAGAGAGCCATGCTGGAGGCCATGGCTCTAGAGAAGGAGCTGAAGGACGTCATGGATGCCCGTCGAAAGGCAGAAGATGAGTTTTATCGATTGGGCGGCATTATTCACAGTTTGCAGTGTGCCTTTTTGCCCAATTCCCAATTGGGTGAGATTGAGCCACTTTGTGCGTATCTGCAGACCGCCATTGATGATCCTATGGAGCTACCGCACAGGTGTTGTTACTTTGCTGGTCCGGATTGGTTTTCATGCCTTGCTGCCGTCTTGACAAATCCAAGGAATTCCATCGCTGCTGTTGACATTTCTTACAGATTGACACTTTCATCTCTTCCACAGCTTGGGATGCTGGCCGGCCTGCTTTTTCATGAGTGTGCGATGCCGTGTCTTCAGCGGCTGAGCCTCCAATGTCGCAGAATATTTTTTTTAAAATGTGGTGAGAAAAATGAACTCAGTAGGAACGAAAAAGTAGGGAAACCTTGGTCCCGTATTATTTCCCGGCATGTATCGAAAAAATGTCATGAACGAAGACCAGAATTCTCTCGCCTGATCTCCTTTGGCTTTGATGAACCACGACGTGGCCCGCCCTTCTTTCTTACCCCGAAACAGGCGAAGAGAGTGCTGGTCATACTGACGGAGTCTCTACTAGACAACGTCCGGCAGCCGCACTTTACGCTTCAGTTGAGGGAGTTCCCCTACAAATCATTCGAGCGTGATTCAAAGATATTTCATAAGGTCTTTCATGTCTTCAGCAGCAATTCCATGCGCCACGCCACCAGTAACAATAATAATAATAGTCATCCTCATCATCATGATACTGACGGTGCTGGTAGGAAGACCAAAAAGAACAAAAAGCGACCGGAGGAGGAAAATGCGTTATCGCGGGATCGGGAGAGTACCACTCCTTCCTGGACGGATCCCCCAGAAGTTGTGTTTAGTAACGATCCCCATCCGATTCAATGCGCATGGGATGAGGCGGAGCGCCAGCCGTATTGCATGCTAATGCGTCATCGGGAGTTTCTCCCCACACGCTGGTCCGCACCCCACAAAAATCAGCCCTACGCCGGTCGTCATGAGGAAAAGAACCAAAATCATTCATCATGTTACGAGGAGATGTGGGTCTATGGGCTTGGCTCGGAATACCTGGAGTTTGCCATGTTTTGCGAATTGGGAGCCCAACTGTTGGAAAAGGCTCCGGAAATATTTGATGCGGTGCAAGCGGCTGTCAGCCACCGCGGCGCAGGAAAGGGCACCAAGAAAGGGTCGAATGGTGGGAAGTTGCTGGCGCAGACTGAGTTCCTTCTCACTTCTTAACTTGACGTCACTGTTGTTGGACGCCCTGAAAAACCCAAAAAAAGGGGAGTGAGAGGACATGAAATGAAAAGGAAGAGGGGATAAAGAAAGAAAATGAAAATGAAAAAAAAAAAGAAATGAGGATTCTCAAAGTACACATGCATATCCATATACATTCCTATTTTTGCTTTACTTTATAGCGGTTTTGTGTTTTTTGTTTCTTTGTTTTGTTTTGTTTTGTTTTGTTTTGTTTTGTTTTGTTTTGTTTTTTGCTGCGGCTCTTTACTCTCATGTATGTGCATGCTTGTTTGTAGCTTCAGCCCCTGTTATTATTATTATTGTCGTTGAATTTTGTTGTTGTTTTTGCTGTGCGCGCTGGCGCATCGTTTCCTTTTGTTTGTTTGTTTGTATGTTTTACGCTCCCCTGTCACAGAAACAGAAAGACACGCACACATAGATGGAAAGAGAGAGAGGAAGGAATGTTTTCACGCGTAGGAATTCATCAGGTGGTCGGCTGTGGTTTTGTGCGAGGAGGCTCTTGTCGCAGCTTTGGTTTACCCTTTTCATGGTGTTGTTTTCCTTGTTTTCATTCTCGCTTTTGACCTGGCAGACGCTTTTTCCTTATTCAGGCAGGAATAGAAAAACTAATACGTCCCCCTTTGCTTCTCGTGTCTTTTTTAACGCCGCCCCAGGCCGTGCTATGGTTGGTGTGGGTGCCAAGCCTGGTGTCATGCTGCCGATAGCCCCAACAGGGCGTTTAACCACCTTTATTATACCGTACGGTGGCACTGAGGAGGAAGAGGGAGAAGGAGACGCTGCCGATGGTGCGAGTGATATTAACGTAAAGATGCGGGACGACGCAGGGACACCGCTACGAACCGGTGGGTATCGTCTTCACCGGGATGTATGCCTTTCGGGAAATGGGACGCGGCTGCAACTTTATCGGCCTTTAGGAAATAAAATGTTAAAAGAAGGTGAAGTTCTTTTTATTGCACACGGTGGGTACGATTCCGGAGTCTTGAGCCGGGACATGACATCTCTCTTTGTGTGGCTACAGCAATGGGAGTTGCCGTTGGGTAGTCATGGCGAGTCACGCCTTTTTCTGCACACAGCAGGGGGAAAGAAAGTTTGGGTTCCGCGCACGAACACCATAATCTTAGCGGTCGGTGGTAGTGGCGGTGGTCGCTGCAGGGATGTGGAGAGGGCCAGTTTTGACCGCACCCGTCTCCTGCATTGGATCCGTGTGGTGACGGGCCATTTTAGACTGCCGCCATGGTGGAGCGATCATATAAGCTCTGCAGATGACATGGCTGCCACTCGTTACGTGGTGGTGAGACTGTCAACCGGCAAGAATCAAGCGTCCACGTCAGTGATGTCATCATCACTGCGTGATTTGGGCTGCTACGCGTATGTTGTGCGGACGGAGGTGGGGTTAGCTCGTTGGTTTCCCTCGACGTCGTTGGCACACCGCCTCCGCCAGCGATGGATGCAGTACTTTCATCATCGGCATCGTCGAGCAGAAGCGTTCATTTCAGATCCAGTTAAAGCTGTGACTTCCATGTGGGGCGCGCAACCACTCTCTCCGGTGCTGCGCCGTATGATTATTGATGCCGTGAGGAGTGATACAAAGAGGGCTCGTAGTGGTGATAATGAAACTGGCTTTCTTCTTGGGGACACAGCCTCTTTTGTGCCAACGGACCGTCGTTACGGCGAAAGTCCAGACGCGGCTACGCTGTCTCGCACACTGACGGAAGTGACTTCCCTGCGCAAAGCGAGTCCGCTGAGGATCACCGTGTTGCTACCCTGTGCGACTGAGCAGTATAACGTGAGGGAGATGGCTTTGTATCTGCACGAGAAGTTTGGACGAGTGAGTCGTATTCAACTTCTCTACATGTATGGCGGCAGGCCGGAAGGTGCTGACATGAGTCCCGTGGTTGTGTCCCTTGCGCATGGTGACTACCTTGAAGCATTGCGACTGTTGGCGCTGACCGATCTTTTGATCACTTCGCACGGTGCGGCATTGGTCTCGATGGTGGCAATGCAACCGGGCAGTGTTGTGGTTGAACTGTTTCCGCGTCTCTGTCGCTCATATACGTACCTGGAATTGGCTGTGGCGATGCGTGTCGTCTATTTCAGCCACGAGGGAAATGGCCCTGAGGCTGCGAAGACGCATAGTCATTCATTTACGCCTGGTAATGGGTTGGTGATGTTTGCCGCGAAGGAAACCGTGAACGAGTCCTTTGATGCTGCTGACATGCACCCGCATCTCCTGCCCCTTTCTCGCCCCAATTCTGCATGTCATCATTGGCGTTCCACCAGTGTTTCTGCCCTTCGACTCTATCACTTAGTGAAGAACGGTCTATCTTCTGTGTGGCTTCGCAACGGCCGCTTCTCCGGTGTCATGGCGTTTGATCGTCGCTGAGAAGACATTTCCAAAAACGAGAAGAAAAAAAGAAGAAGGTGGTTGCGTGGAAGGATGAGCATTGTCTTTTGTGAATACTGTTGGGGGGGGTGGAAATGAAAAAAGAGAATTTTTTTCATTGTTGTTGTTTTTGTTCTCAGGTTTCTCGTCTTTGACGCTGATGGCTTTTCCATTACTTTCATCTTTTTTTATCTTCTTTTTGTTGATTTTCCTTTTTTCTTTTGTGTGTTTTTCTGTGTGTGTGTGTGTGTGTGTGTGTTCCTGTGAAGTCGTTCCGTGTGGGGCGGTACGAGGGTGGAAACGCTTAGGTGAGAAGGACGACACGTCCGGATTTTTTTTTTTCCTTGTGAGTGTGTGTGAGTTTACATGTCGTGGCTTGACTCGCTGTGGGATGGTTTGGGGACGACGGGGAATGCAGCCACGAGGAGTGCCGTCGGCAAAGGCATGGTGTCGGTAGACACAACAACTTCCGTGCCACACGACCAACAAAAACAACAACAACAACAGCAGAAGCCGCAACAAGAGCATGTGCCGCTGCTACCTCCTATTCAGCTACCCAAGGGCCGGGAGTTGTCAGCACAAATGTCTGTCATGAGTGCCGAGAGTGGTAAGGAATGTGGAGCGGATGACGGCAAGAGTCAACGGGCGCGATGTCGTCTTCCCAAGATTGATCAGGGACGTCGACCCAAGAAGCAGCAGCTGGCGTTATGTAGGCAGTGGATCTTGTCGCACCGCGATGAGCAGGCGAGAGCGCGGGCCGTTGTTGACGTGGCTCGAGAACTTTTCTACAATGTTATGGTACGGTGCAACTCTTCCATTGTAGAGGACGGCTACGATCAGATGCAGCTGCTGGCACTTAAAACGGCCGCGAGTTGTTTTCTTTTAGAGGAAATTGTGAAGGCGCTACCACGACATGGGATTCTCAGGCCGTGTGTGGGCTTTTTGCTTCGTGCCGTGTATGTGCCGGACACGCCGGAGATGCGAGATGCGCTTGGGGGAACGCTGGCGTACCCGTTCATTTTGCAGAATTTCCCCTTGGAGCCTGCCACTCGCACGCTGCTTGCCCGGTACGCACGCAAGACGTACTTCATTGCCCACCACGAGCTGACGCAAAAGGTGATTGTTCACGCCCATACCAATGTGTCCCGCCTGCAGCACTTTAAACGTCTTCCACGTGTCTTTGCCTTGATGAGTGTGAACTGGGTTAAGTTCCTACTGCGTATTATATTAAGGGCATGGAGACATTTGTGTCTCGTGCGGCGGCAGAATGAGCAGAAGCACCGCGCCAGGTGGGCACGGCGGTTTGCAGCGGAAAGAATACGATTCGGTGTGCAACGGTGGCGTGTGTACGCAAATATCCGGCTACAAGGAGCGGAGGCGGGGGAGGTTATGAAGGCACGCATTGAAGCCTTGAAAATGAGCACGCGGAGCCTCGAGAATGAAATCAACGCCCTCTCGGAGGAGAGCGCGCGACTGAGCGCGGAGATCGAGTCGAAAGCGGAACTTCACGTCCTCTTCGGGAAGCGTATTTCCGAGATTGAGCAGGAGTACAAGAATACTTTGGAGTGCGTGCGGGAGATGGACCGGGTCGGTAGCCGCCTGCTGGACTCGCTGCTGCTCAAGACGCCGTTCCCCGCGGAGGCAGAGACGCTCTCCCCGCTCGAGCTGCTCGTGCTGTGGGCCAACACAACACTTTTGGAGAGTCCCCTCGGCCCGCTGTTTCTCTCCTCTACTGACGAGGACTTTGCACACGCCATTGACAAAATTGCGAGCAAACAAACAAACAAACAACAAATTAACGTGAGTGAAGTCGCCGAGGAGGATCTTCCCTTCAACCCGCTGCTGACGGAGACGCCAATGGTGAACCTGCCGATGCATTGCTTCCTGGCGCTCATTCGCGCGATGGACTACGACGCCGGCCCAGGCAAGGAGGATCTCAAAATGGTTTGCACCTCCGAAATGCGGATTCGGTCTCTGCGGTCAAAAATGGAGAATAACGCCGAGGCGGTGGACCTGAAGGATCCGGAAACGGCCGCGATATTAGAGTCGGAGGTAGTCGTGGGACACACCATCGTGGAGGCCTACGAAGCGCTCACAGGCGGCACTTGCATTGTGACAGGGGCTCAGTTGATGACAAGGAAGCGTGGGATTCAACTCTTATTTCTTGCAGCTCTGATGCGGCACTTTTCGAATTGGATGGAGAACCAGGTGCGGAAGCAACGCTCTGTCGAGGATAAGCGCCCATCACTTGCCACAGCCCCAACATTAACCACCGTCGAAGTGGATTTACTGGGGGCTCCGAAGAAGGAAGAGGAGGAAGAGGAGGCACCCACGGTGGACAGCCACCTCGGTGTGCGTGACCGGAAGTATTTTGAGTGGTACCACCCCCCGCAGAATCATGTCGAGTGGATTGCGAGAGTGCAGAACCAGCGGCAGTGGATTGCCGCGTCTTTGAGTGCGTTGCACGAGGCACTGAACGTCGCTCTGGAGCCTAGTACCCTCGTCCCCATGGAGGTGCAGGGAGACTCACCCGAGTTTTTGGAAAACGTGACCCTGAAGCGGCTTTCCGACATTCTTCCAAAGAAGGCGATCACATCGGGCACCTTCTTTCTTCGTCTCGCGCGGGTTGTAGAAAATGCTCTTCCAAAACTACGTGCGCTATTCCTGCAATACTCACTAGAAGACAGGACCGCTGACGGTGGTGGTGATGTTAGTAGCGGCAGTAATAGTAGTACTATTGGGTCTCGTTATATCACGTCCATTGGCTTTTGGAACTTGCTGCGAGACTGCCGTGTGGTTGGTGGCCCAGGGAAAATTAACCGCGCTATTCTACGTCAAATTCTTGGGAATGTCTTTGGAACCAGCGTGGCAGCTGCTGCCAATGGGCGGGTCCGTGAGGGGAACAATTTACCGCGGGCACGGAGGCGAATTCTTTCAGCTCTGCTGTCCCCAGTGAGTGATGTACGAGGATCACAGTACAGGTTGCGCTTCAATGCGGCGGAGTTTATTGAGATTCTTTTACGCTGCGCCCAAGCGTGGGATAGCCTGCGACACCGACAGATTGAAAATGAATTGAAAACGTTTTGTAAGAAGAAGAATTCGGCAGTTGACACCAACACCGCATCCCTAGCCTCGCTTCCGGGGCAAGGGTCCGACGTCCTCACAGACGCGGAGGCGGATGATACTGTGGAGGATGCAAAGGGGGAGAAGAAGGAGATCCGTTATGAGGCGTGTGACATGACATGGGCGCTGCGACCAGCTGCAGTGCGGGAATTTTTTCATGAGTGGATTGTTTCGCATGGCTTTCGTGGTCCGACACTGGATCCGTTTCACCGTGCCCTGCGTCACCCGGCATTGAGGGAACACATCATGGCAAATATCGATATCCTTCTCAGTTTATTCACAATCTACACGACCCCTAAGGAGGCATACGGAATGCCGACAAAGATACCAGATATGGAAACAAGTATGCGGAGATTGGTGCTCGACAAGCCAGAAAACAGTATCCAGCAAAAAGAGAGGGATAGTTTCTTGGCCAGTGCGACGACGACTGTGCAGAGCGGCAATCCAGGTATCGTACGTGTCATGACCGTGAGGGATGTAAAACGTATGGCAAAGGATTTTGACTGGCTCAGTATTCGTCGTGTGACGAGCTCTGTGATTGAAGACGCCTTTTTTGCGATATGTCCGGACACGGAGAATGAGTTTGGTCTTATTTTCTTTACCGAATGGCTCGACCTGCTGTGCGTGATCGCCCAGTACCATAACCCTGACCCAACAGTACCCCTCCACGAGAAGGTTCCCCCTTTTTTTAAAGAGCATGTCACTCGGTACCACAGGGGCGATCACTGAGGGGAAGAAGAGGAAGGAAAGAGGGTTTGGTGATTTGTATGCAGTTTTTTTTTTTTTTTACATCCTTTTTGTTTGCCCCTACCACACTTACAAGTTTATACGGGCTTTTTACTTCTGCTTCTAGTTGTTTGCTCTTCATGCTTTCTTCTTGTCTTCTGTGAGGGAGAGGCTGGCGGGGAGAGCAGGTATGGCAGTTGGATCATGTATACTAGAAAAAAAAAAAAAAAAAAAATGGAACTGAAAAGAGTGGGATGATGCATGAAGATTATGAGGACAGTTTTTGTTTGTTTTTTTACCTCCACAATGTCTTTTTTAATTTATTATTTTTTTTTTTCCCCCCACTCTTTTTTCTTTTTTTTTTTTTTGTTTCACAGCTGCGATATGTACCTACCGTGCTTTTGAATCAAAGTTTTATACGTGTTGTTGTTGTTGTTTTCTTTTTTCCCCCTTTTCTTTCTTTATTTTATTACTCCTGTCGCCATATATAACACATGCATAAAGAGTCTTTTGTGTAATATAAAAAAAAAGGGGGGGCGGCGTAGAGCGGTTGCCTTTGTGGGAAGATGGAAGGGGCGTTGGTGCAGACAATACCGTCCGTACTGGCTGCCGGAGGTCATGTGCAGCACTCGCTGATGCGTGTGGAGCTCACGAACGGCATTGTGTTAACAGGACGTATTCTACAACTTGACGCGGTGACAATGAACATGAAGTTAGACGCCATCACAGATATTGCCGTTCGTCGTCGTTGTGGTGGTGGTGGTGGCGAGAAGGTGGAGTGGGAAACGGATCCGGCAGCCTTGCGGTGCACCAGCAGCGTTGTTATTCGGGGTTGTCACATTCGTTACATTGATTTCATTGACGAAGAGGCCAGTGGTGGTCGTGGTCTGCAAGAGTTAATAACAGCGGCACGTACGGTGCGGCCTACCCTTGTCTGACGTCACGGGGGGGAATTTGTTTCCTCGCCCCGTTGCTGTCGGGTAGCCACGCCGGGGCGTCTTTTCTCTCTCTCTCTCTCTTTCTCTGTGTGTGTGTTTGCAGAGATTGAACATATGTGTGCTTGTACCAAGAAAGCGGTGGCGAGGGGGCTTGGCGTCTGCAGAAGTTGAGACGGAGACGGAAGGGAGCCACTTCCTGCCATTTTGCCAGTGGATGCATGTATGCTCATGTTGTGTCGTGGACTTTATTTCTGCATGTATTCTTCTTTTTTCTTTCTCTCTCTCGCACCCTTTTTTTTTTTTTTTTTTTTTTTGTTTGTTTGTTTTTTCCTTTCCTTTGCGTGTATTTAGAAGAAGAGATGCTGCGCCGTCTTGTTAGTAGTCATGGCTGTAGCAATGGTGGTGGTACTAACGGCGGCCGATGTGTCCGCCCCGTCAAGGAGGAGCCGCCTGTTTTTTCCTCCCTTGTGTTACAGAGGCGTTTCTCTTTCAAGTACGCCACGAAGTTGCAACATGATGAAATGCGGCAGCCGTTTTATATCCATGAAAAGAGGCATGGCATTTTTAGTAACGAAAAAAATATCAGGAAGTCAAGACGTGGTTTACCTTTTATCACCCCACTTTACACACGCCATATGAACCTGTGGGAAACCGACACGGACGCATCGAAAAATCGTTTCTTTCGCGGATACGTCTTTGGTCAGCGGGAACTGCATCAACTTCTCGGTCGTCCACACGGGTTTGAGGCGAACAACACGGACGGCAGCAATGATATCTCTGCCTATGAAATGACCACCGACCAGCGATATAAAGGCATACCGCGTCCGGCGATAACAAACCTGCACTATGAGCCGGAGTGGAACTACACACTCTATCGTGCCGGGACACACGGGTCGCAGCTCTCGAATCCCCGAAGCCCGCTGACGGCAGAGGTTCTCGGCGATGAGTTGATGAAAATACGCGACATTAAAAGCTTTGATCACTGTAAGGCGTGGTTTGATCGCCTACAGTACCTCATTAAGCTTCACTACGACGCGGTAGGGGACATTGGAGAATTTAAGTCCCGCCATACGCAACATGTTCACGAGTTTTTTGTGGCCTTTCATGATGCCTTAAGCAGCTTTGACTTTGGCGATTCGTACTTGTTTGAGCAGTTTCATGCCGCGCGTCCGAGCGAGTTGACAGACCTCTTTGGCATCTTTCTTGAGATGGAGGCAAACTATGTGCACGAGGACTACTGCCCACGCTGTAGTCTACCGTACAGCACAACACGTTACTGTGGTGAGGGCGACGCGAACACGCCATTCCGGAAACACCGTGGACGGTGGGCACCGCATCAACGATGGGGACGTGAATGGTACGCCGTTGTGGCACGCCGTGCGGAGGCACTGTGGTACCGCGCAACAGAAGACCCATACTTTGGCACACCCCAACACACTCAACGTCAAGCAGAGGCCTTGTTGCGTGTCTACGTACAGACGAAGCAACGAGGGAAAGCAATTGACTTTATGAACGCGTTACGAGGGAGCAAAGAGTTCTTGCTGGGATCCATATGCATCACACCCGAAATGCAGGAGTCGTATGACCGTCTGCTTGATACGACGCCCCATCCACATCTCCTTACAAATGGCTTCACGTTGGAAAGTAACGCGGCGAAGTACACAGGGGAAGTGCAGAAGGTGCCTTTTTCACCATTGCAGTTTCGTATTGACATGGAGATGAACAAGTACAGACGACAACAAAAGGAGGAAGGGGCGGTGCGTGTGCCGCCCGCCATGTGGCGAATTGACACCTCCGCAATCGTTCCGTACAAGGTGGATCCAAAGACAAAGCGCGTCATCAATTGGCGCGAGGTGAAGGAAGGCATTGAAAAGTCTTTTTTATCGACAGGACTTCCAAAGGAAGCGTACACAGGTAGCGAGTGGCGGGAGATGCTGCATCTGAAGTCCATCATTGCAGGCCGCGCAGCCAAGGCGGCAGAACTAGAACGAAGGCTCCATACAGACAAGGTCAAACTGCTGGAAGTTTCATCTAAAAGTAAAATCGCCTCGGAGACTAATACTAGTACTGGTAGTAGCAATAGTAGTAGTATTATATTTCCAGATAAGGACGGTTATCATGTCTTTGACACGAGTGTGGCGTCACTGCGACCTTTTGGGGTCAGTCAGTCAGGTGCTGTGTTTCAGTCTGTCACGCATACATATCCCTCGCCTCATGCTGTGCTGTACAATGACCCAGTGCATGGTAAACAATTTATTCTTGATACAACAAATGAGTCGTGTCACCTCTTTGGTGGGTTTGAACATGGTGATCGTCTTCTGATTCGTGCAAGGAAGATTGATAAGAATGATAACAATCCGAACAGCGTACTGGCGGTAAAAGGAAATGAGTTTGAGGTTATTGTGGTGGGAGTAAATAAAGAGGGCAGTGACTCGGAGTGGCAACTTTGTGCGATGCATGTTGATCCCGCACTACAACGGGAATATGGACTTGTTTTTCTTGGCACGGATTGTGTCGACATCCATGAGCGGTGGGCGTCTGTGCGTTACGCCGCCGCCGCGCCACATGTGAAGGGACGTGTGACACTGTTGGAGGAACGGCGTACCGCACGTGAAGAGTCTCTTGGACAAATTGTCGGTGTTCGTGACGGTGTCTTATTTGTACAGTGGCGCTTACTTCGAGGTGGTGGTAGTGAAATGGACCGCAGCGTCGCCGAGCCCATTGGGACGGTAGAGCAGGTACGGAATGCGTACCAAATCACCGAGCAGGGCGTGGAGGAGTTAATGCATCCTCCCTCGTGGCGTACACCGTTTCGTAACGACTTTGCGGAAGAAAGACTGGAGGAACTCAGGCAGGCGCCTTTTAAACGGGAGAATTGGGTGTCCCTCATCCAGGGACGCTACACACCGAAGCTTAAACGATTTGGATACACGCAGCACACCACGATGGATGACTTTGAGACGAAGGAGTACAAAGATCGCCTGCTCTCAAAGCAGTTTTTTCATAACCCACAGGCCTTTGAAGTCATCCCAGACCGTCGCGATCGTGCCGTGACGTTCGGTGGAAAATGGGAGTATCAACGCACACATGGCCTCCCCACGGTAGATCGTAATGAGTTAGAGAATGGTTGGAGCGAGGTGGAAGCGGTGACGGATGCGGAAATGCATGTGATTGAGCAGGCACTGCGAGATATCAGCGGACGAAGGCCAGGGAACTTTATTAAGTCGCCCACGAAGAAAAACACGTTGCAATTAAACGAGAGTTGGTGGGAGCCTCTGGAGTTTGGGTGGGAGCAGCACAACAAGGAGCAGAAGGCGTTGGTTGACCCGACAGAGCAGCGTCTTATCGATAGTGCGAGCCTCCCATTTGGAGGGAAAATCCCACCTTTTGGGACGACAATTGGTATTGGGGAACGCATACGTGAAATCGCGGAGGATTACGCGAAGGGGTTTGGATTGGGGCCACATGGACACTCCCCCTCACATGACACCTGTCAATACAACACACTCAATGCTGAGGAAGATCGGGTGCGAGAATTGGGCTACAAGGATGCACTTGTCCGTCTGTTTGACGAGAAGATGGCGGACAAAGATGTGCATCAATGGGCCGTGGAACAGTGTGCCGATGGGGAGGCAGATGTGCGACAGCTGCTGCTCTCGCTGCATGAGTGGCGTGAACGAGGACGGCCGCCCTCCCTAATGTTGTTGCAGGTGCTTTCGAAATATCTTGAGCAGGAGATTGCGGCGTTCAACGAGGGAGTTCCGTCCTCCGTGCCCAAACTATCGCTGCAGACCGTAGATGGCACATTGTCACCATCTGGCAACAGCGGAGAGCGCAGTGGGACTATTTGGGCGGATGTGGAGCCCACAGCGTATGCGTTGCAGTACGCGAGCCAAGCCAACCACAGCAGCCTTGATGAGCCGTTTATTCTCCAATTGCTGAAAAGTGCCCAACTGGGGGGTCGCAACGCACAGTTCACCGATCCTTTCTACAATGCATACTTGGAGAATTCTGTTGTGAGCGAATTTCAGCTGGGCCTTGCGGCGCTGGCCGGCAAAGGTGTCTCACCGAGCCTTCTTGCACAGAAGATCAGTCAACTCCACCGTGGCTCAGTGCGGTTGAGCGGAAACGTCATTCCCTTTGTCAAGAGCCGAGAGCTGGCGCACCTGCTAGAGCGCATGGGACTCTCGTCAGAGAACATCGCCGTTGTCACTCGTGGCCTTGCCAACTGCCCGGAACAGGAATCTGTTGGGGATGACTTTGCTGTACCTGTTTCGGTTATTTTATCGTGGGGCGGCCCAGGCTCAGGCTCTTCCACGAACGCAGCTGACCGCAAGGGCAATGCGACACAGTCGCGTAATGAGCTGCAGCGAAAAGGTTCTGCCGCACTCTCGAGTGCTATTCGACAACTTGGACAAAAGCGTTCGAGTTCCAAAAACTGGCAAAATGAAGACAAAATGATGGTGCATGTCATTGAAGAACTTGCGCTGCGTGATGATGGTCTTGTGATGGACATTCAATATATCGTGCGGGAAAATAGGCGTAATCCTGTTTTGCGGCATGAGTTTTTTGCAGCACTTCTTCCTGTCTTTGCTGGCAAACATGAAAAGGTGGCTCAGCTTTATGACGAATATTGTGAGGGGAAATATGTGCCAAATATCACATTGGCAATAGAGGCGTTCATAGCATTTCTTTGTAACGTCACCAAACATGCAGATGTGTACCCTGGATCCTCCTACTTTGATGTTGACACAACGAATGGACCAAACGCAGGGCAGTACATTTCGCTTAAACTTCTTGACCCGCTTGACGGTCCATTTATCTTTGATAACATCAAGGCAGAGCACATTGAAACGGTGGAGCGATTTAAGCAGCATGGTATTCAGGTGGGGCCAGTGCGGGCCCCGGCCACTGGTTTTATTGCCGCGAACTCCAAGTCGTTGAGTTACTTTACCCGTCGTCCTGAAGAAGTTGTCTACGTGTCGACGGACGCGGATCAGGGTCTTCGCCGCTCTTTGGAGAGATCCGCGCACTATAAAACCATTGCCGCCAGTCCAGCCATGCAATTTTTGCTTCACACGCAGAACGGTGCTGGTCTTGTGGCAACGTTTAACCGTTTCTTTTATCGCACAATGCCGATGCTTAGTTTTTACCAGAGAATACTGAAGCACTACTCAGACAACGTGCAGCCACTCCGGCAGAAGGCGCAGAATAGTGTGCGTGGGTTGGCACGTGTGTTGGAGAACGAACGCTCCGCTGCCATGGAAGAGTTCAGACGCAACAGTGAGCGGTACTGGCGGAATGTCCTCGAGGGCCGCAGCGTCGAGCAGGCGATGGGCGGAAGTGGCGGTAGTGGTGGTGGTGGTGGTGGCACGACACCCCCTGTTTCATCCTCACCCTCGCAATCGTCACAGGAGGCGATGGCCGCTGATGTCGCCAGGGCCATCGGCAGTGGCAGAACGGGCGACCAGAAGGGAGGCGCTGCCAGACAGCAGCAACAGCAGCAGCAGCGAACAGCAGGGGATGATGGTGGTGTCCGCACGACGTTTGCCTCGCGAAAAGGCGGTTCACGCAGCATGACGGATCTGTTGTCTAAGCTGAACAAACCAAAAGGGTCAAATACTTCGGGCACCGCGAAGGGCCCGACGAAGCGAGGCAACCCAAAGTCTCACACGGACGGGGGCCGTGGGGCAAAACCATAAGAGCGTATTTGTGTCTGTGTGAATGGATGAAATTGAAGAGAGGCGAATTATTATTATTATTATTATTAGTATTGGTATTTTCTTCTTTTTTAGGTGGTTTAGAGATGTTGCAAAATAAATTTTAAAAAGGTGGAAGAAACAGGAAGGATTGTGACGTTTTTTTTTTTTTTTTTTTGTTGTTGTTGTTTTATTTTGTTTTGTTTTTTCTCCCTCTTTCTTTGATGTTGACTAGTGCGGCGGCTCCGTATGTATCGAATGGGAACTATAGGGCATTGAGGGTTGGGGAAAGGACTGGCGGGTGAGTGGACGTGGTGATTGTTCGCATGTTTCTGTCATTAGTGTCTGGCTTCTCTTCCTCCCATTGACAGGCCTCTTGACATGCATTTTGTCTCTCCCCCTCTCTCTCTCTCTTTCTCCTGTGAAATGAAAGCCCCCCTTCCCGATGATTTTTTTTTTATTCTTATAATTTAAAATGCTCTCTTCTATGCACGTGCGGTGCGTGAAGAAAAAAAAAGAAAAGGCATTACTACCGGATCCTTCTTTTTTTCTTTCTTTTTCTTTGGGGGCAGGGGGCAGGGAAAAGAGACGAAGTCTCCACACAAAATTGTTTTATTTCTTTTCTATTTTTCTATTTATTTTATTTTATTTTATTCTTTTCTTCCAGAACACCATTGCCATTACCCCCATATATATATACATACACATATATATATACAGAATAGATCGGTAGATAGATTGGTCAATATCTCCCCCGAGATACCATTACAGGGGGGAAATAAAGAAACAAGAAAAAGGGAAAAAAATAAATAAATAAATAGGTAGGAGTGTGGGGTTTTTGTTTATAATAACACGAAGAACAAATATATAATAGTAATAATAACAGGGAGACCAGTTGGTGTACCGAATAAACATATGCCCACTTCGTTGGGTGATCTTATCAGCATTCGTGGTAGCAGTAGTGGTAGTAGTAATGGCAGCCGAAGCGGCAGTAAGCATGACAGTGGTGGTTGTAAGAGTGATGCTAAACGTGTTGACTGTTCTTGTATTCGCGAGAGGGACGTATTCTCACGACTGCAGGATCGCCCCTCAGTAGATGATCTCTGGCCTGGTGTGGAGAGTTATCTCGTACACGCGGCCCATACGATACGCACCGGGAGTGCCGAAATGATGGATCGTTTGAAAGATGTCAGGCATCGCATGAATTGGTACGCCGTGATTTACTCCGTCTGTAGCGGTCACCCGCAGAAGTCCAGCGAAGTTTACCACCGCCTGTCACTCTTTCTTCTGAATGACTTGGAGGTCAATGTGCTTCGGCAGTTTCTCCGAAGAAATGCCCCCTGTGGATCGCCGCCGTCGTCGAGTCTGTGTCTGCAGTTCGTGCAGCAGTACAAACTCTTCATGGCATTCCGCCGCGTTGTTCTCTCCTGCTTCAGCTACTTGGATCAGTACTTTACGGCGAAGTTCCGCCTGGACCCGGTGACGGCACTCTGCGTAAAGTTGTTTTATGTCGTGGTGTATGAGCCCATGAAGGAGGCATTGATAGCGGAGGTGCTGGAGCTGGCAGATGCAGCGAGGACGGCGTACCTCAACGAAAAGGCGGTGTCATCGGCTTGTAGCGACGTCCAGCAGACCCTCCTGTCCATTGTGGAAATTTTGTCCACCGTGAAGGCCTTTTCAGCCCCGTATGATGCAAACATGCAGAGTGCACTTACCCACCAAAAGAAGGATACTTCAAACTCTTGCAACTACAAGCGAGGTGTAGGGGAGGGAAGAAACATGCTTGCTGCCTTCGCTGCCAAAGTAGTGCGCATGCAGAGCCCGTCCACAGCGCCGAACCGTGACCCGCCTCGTACTATGGGTGAATCCCCACGGTCCCCTTTAAATAAGAGTCACAACAGTGATCACAGCCGAGTGGAACAGCAGACCGGCAGTGAGGGCCACAGCATTAGCAGCAGCCCGTTAGCAAAAGACTGGGATGCGATGGCGTACAGATCGCTCGATGGTATCCGAATGCTGCGTGAGAGGCTTGAAAGACGTTCATTTGGTGATTTGATGGCGGCTCATGTGATGAGGAGCAGCAGTAGGAACAAGAGTTCTCACCACCAACACAACAATGGCGCCGGTATTGGTATTACTAGTGGTGGTTGCGAAGGGAGTGCAAAGTGTTCCGTGGACTCTGCGGGAGTCGTCATCGTCGAAATTACGCAGCCGTTGCATTTTCTCATCTTTGCGGAATTTGGTCTGCGTTATGTGCAGGCCGCCGAGACGTATTACCGAAACCGGCGGGAGATGCAATTCAGCACTCCAGAGGGATGGATGGACTATATACCGTGGGTCCAAGGTTGTCTTGCTATTGAGCGATCATTGATGCGGGATGTAAATGCGCCACTCTTACTCAGTGCTTTGCGGGAGCGCATTCAGCACGTCCTTTTGGTGGAAGTTCATCGGTCAATTATTCTCGCAAAAGAAGTTGGATTTCGTGCCCAGCTGGAAGCGTGGGATAGCAAAACCGAGCAAGGCGCTGGGGACATGTGGAAGGATGGTTCCTCATCCTCCTCCTCTGTTCCCCCTATGGGGGCGGCGATGTCGGGAACTTGCAGTGACGTTGACGCTGTCACCTCGCCTGCTGCGTTCTTCTCAGCGCAGTCGACAAACCCGTGGGAGCAGCTCTCTCGGGAGGAGCTTGGAGACCGCATAAAAGAGTTTGTTGCAACCTTTGTCAGCACGCAGGACGAGGCGTGTTGGACATTATTGGCCAGCGAGTTTGCCAGCAAAGTAGTCATGGACACTGCCGCACTTTTCTTTACTTACATGTCCCAGCTGGAGGCGTTGGCACCACAGCAACTCCAACAGGGGGAAAAGAAGCGGCCAGGAACCCAGCAGTCCGCATCGTCCCCGCCGGTACAACCGCGGAAGACTGTCATACCAATGAGAAGAAGGCGTTCGCTGAGAGGGGATGGCCTTTCGTCCGATAGGAATTTTTTGACGCAGCAAGACCTAGCGATGGCGCTCATTAAAGGCCTTGTAGATACGTCCGTACATTACAATAAACTTATCTGCGAGAAGTTTAATGAACACCCACCGATGCAGGTGGCAATGGGTGATGCGATGCGTGAGATATTAAACCCGGAACGGTGGGGGCAACTTGTAGTGGGGGGTGCAATGCATGGAGGCGTGGCTGCTGTTAACAGAGGGGAGTTGCCGAGTGTGCTGCTTAACCACGATGCCGCGAAGAAGACGGTGGCGGTACTGAATAGGTTGGCCACCATGCGTGGATCAAGGGAGATTTCCGTGCCGCAGTTTCTTGCCATGTACTGTGACCAATTCTGTAGGCGGGAGATGGACGATGGCGTGACGGACCCCACGGACCACATTCTCTACCTCATCACCCTTGTGGACGACAAGGATGTATTCCTGGAGCACTATAAATTACTCTTGGCGCGTCGCCTGTTGTTTCTACCGTCCGCTCAACGAAACATGGATCGGGAGCATGTCATGATGCATAAGATGCATCATGCCCTTGGACGCACACTGACCTACGGTCTGGAAGCCATGCTGCGGGATCACGAAGTCACCGCAAGTATGAATGAAGAATTTTCCCGATCCGATGTTGCCCTCGCATTACCGACGAGGCTGCGGGTTCAAGTCCTCACTTCCGTGCACTGGCCTACCTATCGCGTTGTGCCCCTCACGCCATGCGACTCCCTCGCACTTGTCATGAAGACCTTTACAGATTACTACATTGGGGTGCATCCATCCCGTATGCTGCACTGGATTCACACGCTCGGAACCGCCACGCTTCACGCCGTATTTCCCAAAGGCGACAAAGAGGTGATTGCCAACAATCTACAAGCACATATACTCATTTTGATAAGCGATGCGTACAACATGGACCGGGGTGGTGCCGCATCGAGTGGAGCCAATGATAGCCACACGGCCATGGCAATTGGGCGTTCGTTGTCTGGGCGAGAGATTGCCACAGCGATGGGGATGGAGTTTTGCGACATTTACATGTATCTTGCCCCGCTCGTAAAGCATAAACTGTACAACCTTCTTGTACGTGTGGATCCGTCCGCCGTGGCCGGTACAGGCCAGACAACTCAGTCATCATCGCCGTTATCACCACCAAACGCACGTAATGCTGCTGCTGCTGCTGCTGCTGCTGCTGTTGATGATGATGCAGCAGCAGCAGCGGCTCCCAGCGGTACCGCGCCTGGGCAACTATTGCCAGAGGATCACTTCACACTGAATGTCGAGTACACGCACAAGTTGCGCAAGTTTGGGCTTCCGGTGGCTCGTCCCTCTCGCGGCGAGGGGTTCAAAGGGTCGGTTGTTAGCTCCACGCATGTAGAAAAGACAAAAGCGGCTCTCTCGGATGAAATTGAGGCATCCCGACGCATTCAGATGGATGCTGCCATTGTACGTATCATGAAAAGCCGCCGTTCCCTGCGGTACTATGAGCTTTTTGACTTGACGGTACAACAGCTTTCAAAACAGTTTGTCCCCCATCCACGCTCTGTGAAGATGCAAGTGGAGGATCTTGTCTGCCGTGGCTTCCTACGGCGAAGCGAGAAAGACACCTCTGTGTTTGAGTACATGGCGTGAGTGTTGTGTACACACACCACCTCTTGTGTAAGGAAGATGAAAAGCAAACAAACATTCAAACGAAAAGAAGAAGAAAAAGAACCAAAAAAAAAAAACAAAATTAAAGGAAAAAAAAAAAAAACAGGGTTATTTTATCTTTGCGATGAGGGAGGGTTTGAGTGGAATGTTAAAAAAGAAGTTAGAAAGATGTACGTGATCTTTTCCAACCTTTCATTTTTTTTTTTTTTTGCTTCTTCACTCTCTCTCTCCCTCTCTCCCTCTATATATATATATATGTGTGTGCATACGTGTTTTCTTAAATGGGTTGCATTAGGTCTATTGTTGTATTTCTATTTTTTTTTTTTTTTTTTTTTATTTCCCCCTTCTTTTAGTTGGATTGCTGCACGATGATGTGGGATCTTTGAGGTGCTAGAATGCGCCTACAAGAATTTTTGTCTTTGTTTTTCCGCTCCTCTCCCTCCTCTTTTTTAATGTTGTTACTGATCAGAAATTGATGTTCATATCTATCTACGCCTATGAGTCTACATCTATTTATATTTATATTTATATTTATATTTATATCCTGGCCAATCTACTCATTTAATTATCCCCCCCACACACACACACCCACCCCTTTTGTTGTTGTTGTTGTTTTCTTCTCCAACATGCACAGATGCATTTCCCAATTCACCATTGTTGCGGTCGTTATTATTATTATTATTATTCATAACTCTACCATTTGGGATTGTTTATATTGGAAGGAAAAACATGAAAAATAAAATAAAATAAAATAAAGGGGGAAACCAGGAGAATTGAATGAGGAAGAAATGCAATATTGTACACCATGTATGACAACTTCTTCTCTTTTGCACCTACTCATTCTTTTTTTTTTTTTCTTTTTTTGTGGGGGGGGATGTGGTTGCTCGGATGTTTATATTCTAAAACCACTCGCCCCCTTCATGTGTGCAGTTATTGCCGAGAGGGTGTTGCGTGAAAAGGTGGACACATGCGGGGGATACGTGTGCTGGCGGGCACGGACCGCCTGCTTTGGATGGCACGACGTTGCCTTATAAGAGGCAGTAATACGGCACTCAACTTCCACTTTTCGTCCTCTTGCAACAGCGGCTCTGAAATGCGGGAGGCGATTGCACCAGAGATGGTGACAATTGAGATCCTTCCCGCCGCAGAGGAACACGGCAGCCACACAGCTGCTGGTGTTGGTGACAGCCACAGCGATAGGGATGGCAACATGGACTACCATCGTTGTGAGGTTGACATGAGTAGCCGTGCCGACGGGAGTAGCACGCGATCTACCGGTGATGAGCTGCGCCAGAAGCACTACTGGGATGTCACAAGCATCGATAACTTCGCCAAGAGTCGTGTACTCAACTACGTCCGCCGCACGGGGAATCGATCTGCGGATGTCTTTGAGGTGAGTGCGGAGCAGATGCTGGGAAGGACGGTGTACCGCGCCCGGTGCAAATTAGTCCTCCCATCACCGCACCACTTCTACGTGGCGGAGGGTGTCGGTGAGGACGAGAAGGATGCGGAACTGCTGGCAGCGATGCATGCAGAGCGGGTTTGTGATGCGTTGGGAGTGCCGCTCTTCCGACTGCCATCTATGCAGCAGAAACACGCGGAGAATGCACGGCGTCAGGGCCGTTACGCGCCAATGCCCGGTGATCCAATCAAACCAGAGAACACCATCGCCCCACCACCGCTGCGTATGCTGACAGCACTCCCCGATTGTGGTGGTGCCTCCTCTACAGACGTCGTGGATGGGGCATCCGTGTTCTCCACCACCATCACAGAGGCAGAAATCATCGGTGACACAACTTCAATAGGCAAAGACAGTCGTTGTGTACCAAATCCGTTAATGGAACACGTATCATCGTTGACTCCTACTATTGACCCTGTTGCTGCCACGAAGGCAACTCCTGCAATTCAGACTACGGATTTAGAAGGAGATACATTAGACGTTAGTGGAGAGCCGCCGTACCACTCTACAGTGCACTACCCGTGGCTTTCCCCCAATACATCGAGCAACCAAGGTGGAGGTGCAACGGCAGTAGGAGGAGGAGGAACGGCAATTTCCAACACGGTCACTTTTGATCCAACGGAAGGTGGCATATGGCAAATGGTGAATGCGAACTCCACACGTTGTTCCCCTTCACAGGATGCATTGTTACTTCCCTGCGTGTACGAGACGGCGGCCTACGAGCGGTTGAAGGATCACTTTCTACATCAAGGAATGGCGCTGAAGGACCGCATCACGATCTCTCACGTGGCCGTCCCTGGTCACTCCGTCAGAATGTACGTGGCGGAAATTCATCTTTTTGATGCCATTGTGGCTCGTGGAAAGGCACAAACAAAAGAGTGTGCGGAACACATGGCTGCGATGCATGCAGAATTGTTGTTGGACGCCCTTGCGCGCCCGTTGTTCCCGCAAGACAATGCGCGGCAGGCGAGACACGCGATGGCCGTTGAGAGGTTTGGTCGTTGGGCACCGAACCCACTCACCGGTGACACGCGGCACCCACGGCCGCACGACCCGCTGCCGCTGCCTCTGAAACAACAGGTGGGTGGCGACGAGGTCTGGCTCGACCCGCAGATGCTGCGGCGCTACACTTATCAGCGGAGTGTCGGGGAACGTCTCATTGCAGCACACAATGACATTAACAACTACTGTGGTGATTATATCGAGTCCAATCCAGACCCGGCGCTCCTTGCGGAGTCGCGGAAAGCCCTGGAATCGTGGCAGCGCGAAGTTGCCCGCAATCCACATCCCGATCTGTTTGTTATCACACGTATGGGTGAGCAGTTCCGTGCCAGCACGCTATTGCCAGTGCCGAAAGTATTTGGTGTTCGTGGTGGAAACGCGGTTGGCAAGACGATGGAGCAGGCGATGGACTTGTGCGCCCTGCACGCGGTAGACACGTTGTGTGCACTTGGTATTCCGCTTTTTGCAAATCCCTCGAAACAGCAAGCGTTTCTGGAACAGCGACGACGCATGGGTCTTGTGACGATGGAGGACATGGCGAAGTTGTCTGCATGCAAAGGACTTGTCGCCATTCTGGCCCCATCTTTTTCCGAATTGGAGTCCAAGTCTCCGCCTACAGAAAAGGCGGCACGGCCCCCATATCTTCCTGGATACATGGTTGAAGGCAACCAGCCACGCCCCTTGCCACGCATTTGCGACACGTTGCAAATTTTGCAGCTCCGTATCCCCGAGGACTTTGATGTGTACGGCGAGAACCTGAGCGATGAGGCCGTCCTTGAAGCGGGAAACGAGGCAAAATTGTGTGTACAGAACTACCTACGGTACCATCTACCTAAGGACAGCAATGTAAATGCATCTATTTACATTACCGGATTTGCCAGGCAGGTGAGTGTACACAACATCGCGTACCTGCCACTTGTGTTACCCCAGAAGGATCGTAACGTCCCTGAAAACACGACAAGTACGAAGAAGAAAAAGAAAAAGAACAACAAAGCGACCGCTGATGTACCAGAAGGAACTGAGAAGACGAATAAAGCAGACAACGCGCCCCCCTCTTTGTCTCCTGTTGTTGCTTCCACGGCCAATGATGGGGATAATAATAATAATAATACTTCTGGGAGTAGTGATTATGTGGCGGTGGTCACGCAGTCGCAGGCTACTAAAGGGGAGGAAGGGGACACGGCAAAGAAGAATGCTGGGCGTTTACTTGCTATTGGTATATCCCTCAAGAAGAAGGATGCGGAGAGGATGTGTTATCTTCATGCTGTGGAAATACTCCGCAGCTTGGGTCAAGATGTACTTTCCACCTATCGTGCAGGACTTCCACGCCGCAAACAGTCGCCTACAACACCTCAGTCGTCCACCACGTCAACGCCATCCCAGGCAGAAGGTGGGACAAACACGAATGGTGGTGACAGTAGCATCGCAGCGAACAATGCACAGCCTGACAATATGAAGCCCGCAACACCATCGGCACCGAAGCCATATATGCATAAGCTCATGAAACAATTTATAACCAGTGGTCGGCATTACACGCCTCCAAAAAGACGTTTCCAGCCAGGCCCTAACTCGCCCTTTTGATTGGGTAGTAAGCGCGGGATCTCATCCCACTTTTGAATGCATGTGAAGAAACGCAACCTTTCGTGATTGCCTTGTTTTTTTTCCCCCTTTTTTCTTTTTTTTTTCTTTTTTGATCCATTGAGTGGGTAGAACAAAGAGAGGGAAAAAGAGGAGGAACTGAGGGAAATGACTTTAGACAGTAGAGTGAAGACGAAAAAACGAAGGAAAAATAAAACAAAGAAGAAAACAGAGACAAAAGTTTGAAAGCACAAGAAAAAAAAAAAATTTGTATGAATGAATGAAGGAAGGAGAGAATGGTGGGTTGCGTCGTTTTTTTTTTTTTTTTTTTCTTATTATTGGGTGAAAGGGGACTATTTAAGTTGCATCCCTGTTGCATGACACATCTATCACAGAAGGACAAAGTGGAGAGAGAAAGAAAGAGAAAAAGAGGAGGAGGAGGAGGGGTGAGAGAATCATCTGCAGAAAGAGAAACAAAAAAAAAAAAAAAAAATACGGAAATGCATGGAATACATGAGAATTCACGTTTTGTTTTTGTTTTTATGTTTTTTTATGTTGGATTATATTTACTTTTTTTTTTTTTTTTTTTCCGCAATCGCTCTTTCCCTCCCTCCCTCCCTCCTTCTCTGTCGATGCTTCATGAACTGGAGGCATACTGCAAGGGGAGGTCTTGTTGTGTGAATAAAACAGCGTAAAGGGGACAATCGCTGTGTGTGTGTGTGTGTGTGTGTGTGTGTTGGAAAGAAAAGAAAGAAAAGGGCAATTGGAGATATACAGTCGTATTGAGCACATGAACCTTAAGGCAACCAGCCGCCTTGGATGCACACTCACACAAGGATCTCCTGCCTCCGGGACACGCTATGCTAGTCATTCACGTCCCATAGAACGCACGTCATGTTGGATGGAGCTCGCATGTTTTGGCGGCTTTCCAAAGGTTCCGTCTCTCTCAGGCTCGATGGTGCAGCAGCGCCAGGATCTTTTGGCGTCTACTAAAGGCGCCGGTGAACCTGAAATCATCCTTCGTATTGAGTTTGAATTATTTGATGATGAATCACCCAAAGCATGTGCGAATTTCCGTCATTTATGTGCGGGGCAGTCCACCAGTCGAAAAGGGCAGACGTACTGTTACCAAGGTCTCACGCCATGTTATCGTGGGACGTACTTTCATAAAATTATACCCGCGTTTTGCGTTCAGGGTGGGGACTTGACAATGCGTGTTAACAAAGGTGCGAATCACTTCTCCAGTTTTGGTTGGGGTTGGTTTAGTGACGAAAACAAACGACGGCGCCTGAATGAGGTGGGTCTTCTTCTTATGGCCAACAATGGACCCAACAGCAACGGCTCGCAGTTCTTCATCACCACCTCTGATTCGGAAGAAAAGGCACTCAATGGCCGGCATGTTTGCTTTGGTCGGGTGGTGCGTGGCCTCGATGAGTTCTTGAGGGAAGTGGCACCGTACGGTGAGATCAACGGCAACCCCTCGCGATTTGTAGTTGTCGTTGACTGCGGCGTGGGCCCACTGCCGGAGACACTGGGCATCACCACCAGCAACAGCTGGGCAGAGGAGCAAAAAAGACACAAGGCCGAGGGCGATAATGCCAATGAAGGAGTGGGGTTTGAAGATGGTGCGGCGACAGTTGCAGGTGCTGCAAACGCTGCCGCATCGGTAGAAGAAGAAGAAGAAAAAGGAAAAGAAAAGGAACTTGAAGAGACTACAACCGCCATGGAAGCCAACAAGCAACCACCGGCTATGAATGGCACAAGTTAAATTTCCAGGGTGAGCCTTAAGGAGAATTGTCAAGAGGCATGAATGTAAAGTTTATAACAAGATCGATGAAAATGGGAAATATGCCTGAAAGTAATGTATAGTAAGCATATTTATTTGCATTGTATCTTGTAATTAAATGTGCGATCAATCTAATTTCCCTTTTTATTGTTGTTGTTGTTGTTGTTGTTGTTTTTTCGTACTGTATTGAAGTGAAGGAAAAGAATTACATGTGATTTTGTCTGTCTGTCTGTCTGTGTGTGTGGGTGGGTGAGGACGGGGGGAAAAGGCCTTTGCATCAACATGTCCACTCCAATAAACACAGAGAGAAAGAGACACAGAGCTATATATTGACATGTGTATGTGCCTATTCTCTGGTTGTCAATAACACCTACAATTCTTCCTTCTGTGTGAATGCATTTACACTGGGTTTATGTTAGAAACTAGGCTTAGGAAGATATTTTAGTAAAAACTCGTAAAATGGACCTCTCGCTTAAACCAAGGTCCACCTGGGATGATCAAGGCTTGTGGTTTACGCTGGCTTTCAACGCCATCCTACTTGTAGTGCTTTCAGGCCTAAGTATTTTCTGTCTTACCGCACCGTTGCTTTGGCTGCGGCGTCTCTATCGCACCAACCACACCATAACTGTGAGTGTGGGGCCATCGGGATTTCCAGCTGCCACAACACCTCTGACACCCTCGTCCTCCTCCCCCTCTGCGTCTCCCACCCCTCCTCGACAGCGTGTGGGTCGTGTCCTGCCGTACCGATGCTCACTCTTCTCTCTCCCGAGTTTGCGCGACTGGCTGAGCATCGAGGAGGAGGTGGCAAACCTGGAGAGTGTCGTGCAGCCTTTGTCCACAACCGCTTCTCCTAAAGATGGCGAAGACGACACGAAGAGGCAAATTTCAGGGGAAATGGAGGTGTTAAAAGTCAACAAGAGGGAAAATACTGCAGTGGAGGACACGTTTTTAGTATCGGCAACGAAGGCCAAGGTGCCATTTGACCCCCAAGTGGCACTGTACCTTGCCTTCTTGAAGCTATTTGCGACCGTGTTTGTTTTGGGCGGAGTCTTCAATTTCTGGATCTGCGTTCTTTCTGGGACGGATAACTACCTGGAAAAATATATGGTAAGGCGTGACATTCACGGTTGTCAGTCTTTGGGGGGTAATGAGACGGCTTGTAACGACAGGGCGCCATTCTGTAAATATGTGGAGACGGATTGCGTTCCAGTCCGCCTTCGCGGTCTCTACGACCTCTCCGCGCAAAACATCTCACCCCACAGTTGGCGCCTTTGGCTTGTGGGGATTTTGGATCTTTTCTTTTCCGCCATATATGTTGTGGCAGTCTTATTTTTTCTATACCGCTTTGATGCATACATCAAATCTGTCATGCACTTGCAGATGGAAAATGCACTTGGACACCGTGTGGCGATTGTTCGGGGCTTAAGTGCCGACATGATGTCAGAAAAGAGATTTCATCAAGGATACCTTGTGGAAGAAGCCTACTTTCGGCCAAGAGGTGGAAAAGGTGGCCGAGTTCGGAATGGAGATTCAGGCAATGATAACAATGGTAACACGGAGGAAGATGAGTTGGATGTGTATTACCAGTACCATTGTACAGGTTTAAGTTGTCTCTTTTCGATTTGTGGTTTTGGTTACTACAAGACGACCCGTCGAGACGCCATCTTTACAAGGGATTGTAGTGTGCGGCAACTGCTTTTCCCTCGTAAGCCACCGGAGGGTATGTACGAGAGCATGGAGAGGACAGAGACTGCCATGAAGGAGTTACAGGAGGCCATAGCGGACCAAAAGGCATATTCAAAGAAGCAACGTGAAAGAATGCCCGTGGCGCGTGAGAGAGGGGAGGATGTTGAGGAAACACTCATGATGTGTGCTCCCTTTCCTTCCTGCTGCAGCAAAGTACCCAAGGTGGAGTATAGAAAAAAGGTTTTTATTGCCGAGGCTAAACGGTTGAATCAATTTATTGATGCAACCCCCGCTAGGGATGCAAAAGGGTCTGCCTTTATTATATTTTCAGATGCACTCGAGGCGTACGAGTTTGTGAACCTGTTCGAGTCGCGTCGTGGTGGTGTATCGGGGGCGCAAGCGACCATCGCCGGACCCCCGGATGGTATCATTCATTTCAACCTCACGACCGATCGGTACACGGGTTGGTTACGAACCGTCGTATTCTTTTTTGTGTATATCTTACTTCTCTTTTTTTGGGCTGTTCCTGTTGGATTTGTCAGCTCCATTGACAACCTTGTTTATATTCCCTATATTGGTAAATTCGTGCTTTGGATTTATATGAAAGTGCCAGAAACTCTTCGTGGTGCAGTTACTTCGTTTTTACCAGTTGTCATGCTGGAGCTTTTTAATTTAATACTTCCGTTTATGATTCGGTGCTTTGTCATTGCAATGGGGGTTGTAAACCGGGATTCGCTCCGTGGTGGTGAGTTGTTCCTGCAGTATCTCTTCATGGTACTCACCGGTGTCATATTTCAGGCGGCGCTGCAGGGCGGTCTGTCCCAACTGGCAGATGTACTTAAGGACCCTTCAGGTGAAGCGATTATTGGTTTCTTCCTTGCTATCGTTAGCCCAAACGGCGGTTACTGGTACGCCAAAGTTATCACAGCAGCCTGCATCTCCACGTGGTTGAATCTCGTTGATCCTCTACCGCTTATCCGGGCCTTTTTACGAAGAAAAGAAGTAAGCGTTCAGCGTGTCTACGACAAACTCTTCAAGCCATGTTCGTTTGACTGGCCGCAATTTTACAGTTTTGACCTTACGATACTCGCGATGGGGCTTCTCTTCCGCATGACGGTGCCACTTTTGGCCCTACTTGTCGGCATCTACTTTTTTGTGCGGTACATGACGCAAAGGTGTCGATTATATGATCGCTATCGCCCTCGCCTTCATCCGTTGCATGACTGCACGGTAGTCAGTGCCTCAGCCCAGGTGATGCGGGCGGCGAGTTGGTTATACTGCCTTGGTGGCATCGGCGGGGTGCTGGTTATGAGTCTACGCAAACATGTGGGGGGTGTTGTGCTCTGTTCCATATCGCTGGCGGTGGGCATTTTGCTCCTCGCGCAGGTCCACTCTGTCTCGCGCCGTTGGGTGAACTCCCTCGCCAATGCACGCCGGTTCCTCAAGCACAGGGCGGCACTCCAGACGCGTTATGGCGCAATGGCCAAAAGGACGGCGACACAAAACAGGACGCAAAGGACCGACAAGCCCTCCGCCCCGCCACAATCCACGAACGTTCTTTCGGAGGGATGTTCGATGGAGCAGCTTGCCACGGAACTTGTGTCGCAAACGTTTGAAACCGATGGTGATGTTGACAACAGGGCTGCAACGGACAGAAGCGGCAGCAGTACAGTTGACAATAATGGCGTTGTTGATGGCGACATAAACGCACGGGAAGGCGCAACGTCGTTTGGCGATCAAGTGCCTATTCCCGCAACCGACCTGCTGCCGCACAACCCGAATGTCATTTCCCGTTACCAACCGAAGCATCAGCGGCTGCTACATATTGACGCGGAGCAGGAGATTCAAGGAATGGAGAAGACTGTGTTTCATGTAGAGAGCTACTGGAACTCGTCCTTTGAGCTCATTGACGATGTTAGCATGCCCCTTTAAAAAAGGGGGGTTCAAAGGAATGAAATTTCTTCAATAGGCCAATGTGTAGCTTATGAGGAGAACAAAAAAGAAAAAGAATTTATTTATTTTTTTTTTTTCTTTTTTTTTTTTTTTTTTTTGAAAAATGAAAATTCAAGTGAGACAATATATATATATGTTGTGAAATGAGAGGTTGTGAAGAAGGAAAAAATGGGAGATGGTTCCCCTCCTTTATATTATGCATTATATATATATATAATGCGTTTTGGTCTTTGTTTTTTGTTTTTGTTTCTGGCTGTTTTTCTTATCTATATATATATAATATATGTATTCTTTAAATGTGTGTATACACTCTCCATGCGTATATTTATTTATATTTCTTCCCGGTTATTGTCTCCAATACGACATACTCTGCCTTCCTCCTTATGTCTTCTGTCATCAATGGGTGTCACGGGGGTAGTTAAAGGAAACATTTAGGAAGGATTCAAAGCCGTCAAGGTAGTCTCTTTGTGTGGTGGTGGGAAGGGGGGGGGAAAAACGGTAGAAACAGTAAAAGGGGCTAGAAGAAAAGGAGGCATACGAGAAAAATTACAGCAGTTGAATTGAACCAACAGGAGAAAAAAACAACAATAAAAAAGGAAATTAGATTGATCCATTTCCTCCTTTTTTTTTTTTTTAATTTATTTACGCCCCCACACATGCCTGTTATAGCTGCAGGTGTGGTAAACAGACAGGGGAATATTATTCTCTCGCGGAACTTCAATGAAGTCTCGCGGATTCGTATTGAAGGTCTTCTCTCTGCATTTCCACGCCTTTTGGAGTCGTCGGTCAACAAGCAGGTGACATACATCGATGCCGGCACAGTACGGTACGTGTACCAGCCGCTGGAAGAGCTCTTCCTCGTCCTTATCACGACGAAGAACAGCAACATCGTTGAGGATCTGGAAACCCTGCATCTCATGGGCCGTCTCATCCCAGAGTTTGTCGACACGGTCACTGAGGCAACACTGGAAGCAAAGGCGTTTCGTGTATTTTTTGCCTTTGATGAGGTTATTGTTGGAGGAAAGCGGGAGAACACAACGGTGGAGCAGATCCGAACGTACCTGGAAATGGACTCCCATGAGGAATTGATGGTACGGGAGGAGAAACGACTGCAGATGGAGCGGGCGAAGAAGGATGCGTCACGCAAAGCACATGAGATGCGAGAAAAGCGACGGAAGGGAATGAACCCGTACAGCGGCATCAGCTCGGAGGATCCGGGCTACGGCGGCTTCGGCAACACGAGCGCACCAGTGATAGTCAGTGGTGGTGGGGTTGATTCTGCCGTTTCGACCCATCAGTTTGAGGGCGTGTCGTCTGCCTTTACCACATCCTCAGCAGCGCCAGCACCAAAGCGTGCGGGTGGGTTAACGCTTGGCCGTGCAAAGAAGGCGGATATCACGTCGCGTGTGTTGAAGGAGGCGGGGCTGCCTTCGCCCGCCCCGGCCACCGCCGCTGGTGCTGCCTCGTCCCAACAGCCCTCATCGTTAACCGCAGGAGCAGGGGGAGGTGTGGAGTCGAAGAAGGGGATTCATGAGGGAACGGTGGAGGGTTTGCACATTTTGGTCGAGGAAAAGATTAGTGCGCATCTGAACCGTGACGGGGAGGGCGGTGCGGTGGATGTTCGCGGTGAATTATCCGTCCTTGTCTCCGACCCACAGTTGGCAACCGTGCGGCTTATGCTTTCGCCTATGAGCAGCAAGTTCTCCTTCCGTGCCCACACGAAGGTGAACAAGGAAATGTTTGCAGAAGACCATGTGCTCTCCATGCGTGAAAACAAGCCATTACCCGTGCAGCAAATGGTAACAATTTTGCGTTGGTGTCTCATCAATTCGGATAACGCTCGTCCGCCCATCACATTGTCGTGTTGGCCAAGCGCAGGGAGTATCACAGTCGAGTACGAATTGGACAGGGCCAATGATGCCATTGATGCCCTCCGCGACGTTCGTATCGCCTTCCCACTGCATGGTACCAGGGCTCAGGAGGTCACACCATCTGTGGGCACCTGGGACATCGTCAATGGCTGCGTCGTCTGGTCTATTCCGCTACTGGACGCCCAAAATCATCCAAATGGTAATGTGGAGATTGAACTCGCAGATGGAGGCGATGGTGCCGCTAGCGGAAATGAGGTGTTTTTCCCCGTGGATGTCAGCTTCACCTCATGCAGGACTGTCGCGAAGGTGCAGGTGGTTGAGGTGGTGCGGACTGAAACCGGGACACCAGTGCGGTTCAGTCAAGAGTCCCGCCTCGTCACGGAATCATATACAGTTCCTGCATAGAGGGAATAGGGATGGGCGTGTCATGAGTGTGTGTTCCCTGTTTGGGTGGAGAAATGAACACAATGGACAAGAAAAAAAAAGAAAAGAAGAAGAAAGAAAGAAAGAAAAAAAGAAAAAAAAAAAAAAAAGGTGATGCAGAAATGAACGTGTACGATATTGTGCGGTACCCTTTTGTATGGGATACATTTTGTTTTTTCTGTTATTTTTCTTCCGATTTCACTTATTTTTGAATTCTTGTGGCCTTTTTTTTCTTTTCTTTTTTCTTTTAGAATGAGTTGATATACACGCATACATACATACATATATATATACATGTGTGTGTGTGTTGTCGTGGTTGTTGTGGTTGTTTTTCATAGGACTTCTTCCTTCAATTTCCCTCTTTTTTCTCTCTCTCTATTCCTCTTTATCACCATGCTGCATGCATGCAGATAATAATAATAATATGCGTACGTATACATGAGTCAGACGATATGGCTGATGGATGGTGTTTTTCTTTTTCTTGTTGTACACGCATGCACCTACCAATTGTCTTCTTCTCTTTCTCTCTCCCTTTTTTTTTTTTTTTTTAATGTCTCGGTGTATTCTGCCATACCGCAATTACACGCCTGCGCAATATATGTATATATATATACAATACAACAACAAAAAAAAAAAAAAAAAGGGTGGGTAGAAGGGGACAAGGGAGACAGAGGAAAGAAAGCAGACCGCCATGGGACGCTTTAAGCCGCTTGCAATTAAGAAAAAGTACGCAAAGAAGCTGAAGCAGAACAGGCCTGTGCCGTACTGGATTCGTCTTCGCACGGGCAATCGCATAAAGTGGAATGAGAAGCGCCGCCACTGGCGCCGTACGAAACTTCACTATTAACGTAAGAGGGAGAGAAGAGGACGCGGGAAAAATGGAGAAGGGCGTGCGACGTTGATGGCGGTGATGACAGATCCCCCAAGCCGCTTGTACTTGTGAGTTTATTTATTTGTTTATTTCTGATTTCTCCCCTTCTTTTGGCCGTTGCTCCGTCTCTCTCCGCTTTTAGCTCATTGTTGCCTGCTCCGCCCTCTGTGTCGTGTCCTGTCGTCTTGAGTTGAGTTGCATGCATACAAACACACATGCCTCTCTTCCATCATGGATGGATATATTTATTTATTTTTTTTTTTTTTCCTGCAATGTGGCGGGAAAAGGGGGAAGGCAGGGGCAAGGATACGCGGCTGGGAGGTGGACGGTCGATTGGCCTTTTGTTTTTGTTTGTTTGTTTTTATTCAGAAATGAAAAAATAATAATAATAATAACACCGCTACAAATGAGACTTTGACGTGTGCCTGACACGCTTCTCACGGCGGCCTTTTCCTTGTGACATCGGGCATGTATTTCATGTAAAGCACGTGCATGATTTTCATCTGCATTTTATTTATTACTAGACACTTTATTCAGGGAGGGGGGAGCAGGCGAATTTTGTTGTTGTTGTTGTTTGAATGGATAATTTGGCATCCCGCAGTGATGCGGCGCAGCCGTCATCTTCGTTGGATGAACAACTCCTGCGGCTCCTGCAGCAGCAGGTGGCCATAGAAGAATGTCTCAGTGGCCAACGTGCTCTCATGCAGCGTATCACGGAGGGGTTTTCGGTTCTTCGAGAATGGGCCTCACGCCACGCCCACCACGAACTGTCTCTGCACGACCTTCTTGTGCTGGAGGCATACGGTGGCGGCAATTTGTGTCACAGCGAAGAAGCACCGCAGGAAGTGGAGAAAGAAGGAGATGAAGGTGATATTCACCGTGGGGGATATAGACACTGCAGGCCAAATGACATGGCCATTCCTGCTCCACATGATGACAGGAATGAAAATGGCAACGCGCACCATCCAGGGTACAGCAAATGCGAGCGGTGGCAGCAGCAGTTGCAGGAGGCAAAGCGAGCGTATCGGTCATTTATACGAGCGCGTGTCTTGGATGAAGGATGTGCGGCCCCTGACAACCCAGCGCAGTTTCATGCGCTTACAGCAGACTCGTTTTATCTTCTTTTGCCGCATTTAACAGAGATGCTGAAGGAACTTGTTGGCATCACGCCTGGAGCTGCACGGGTGCAGCAGCCGTCATCGTCATTATTTTCACTGTCAACCTCGCCTTCTTTTGCATCCCTGGCCGACTGGTGTGCGTCACTCGCTCGTGTTCTGCGGTTTCTTGAGCTTGGCGTGAAGCACTTTCCTGAGGTGCTCGACAACAGTCCTCTGCGGCCTTGCCTGGTACAGAGCTTATTGCAGCTGCAAGAAGATGGCAACGACCGCAGCCATATAAGAGAGGAGGCGGTGCTGCAGTTGCGTCAACGTGCAGAGAAGTTGTGTGCCCACCTCCACCGCCTCCCTGTGGACGGTGTCCACAACTACGAATAAATGGGAAATAAAGGTGGCGGTGACTACTCATCATCACTTAACGGCTCCGCGGTGAGTGGGAAAAGAGGAATGGGCGGTGCTTTTACGGAATTTTCTTGCTACTTCAAAGGTTGATTTTCAAAAAGAATGCCATGCACATGGAGGCATCGCACTCATCTATCCCAAATATACATACACAGACGCATACACGCATACATGTGCATTTGTTGTTGTTGTTGCTTTTCTTTTTTTTTTTTTGCTTTTTCTCTTTTTGGTCTCTGTCTTTTGGCAATGAGTGAGCATATATATATATATATATATATATATGGCGATAGAGAATGAGGGATATGGCGACTTGTTTAATTTTCTTCTTTTTTTTACAGATTTCACGCACATGTCAATGAACATTATTATTGTTATTTTTATGATGTTTTCTCTTTGGAAGTGATCTGCTAACTTTCTTGTGTGGCGGTTATTCTCATTGGGAGCCGTGAAAGGCCTTCTCTCCTTCTTGTCTGTCTTTTGCTCCTTTCCTTTTTTTTTTTTTCCTCTGGATTTCTGACGCCGGGTGGTCTTTTGAGTGTTTACGCGCTTCCCAAGTCAAAAAGAAATAAAATAATAAAATATATTTATATATTTTGCTCTCGTGAATAATTCGCGGTGGTGCACATTTTTTAAAGGGACACACACACACACACTCACACATTCACACGGTCATATTCACGTGCTGTTTGCTGCACGCGTGGGAAGGGGGCAGGAGGCAGCGGCGGTGGGTGGTTGTGGTAGTGGGGAGAGTAGAAGGAAAATGATTCATCTTTTTGTGGATGGGGATTATTTTCTCAGTGGTATGACGCCCACATCCGAGGAGGCGGTGCGGGGCGGCGTTGAGGACATGCTGGACGCCATCACGACTCAGCTGTTTGGTCAGACAAACAGAGGGGCGGCAGCAGTGGCGGTTGAGCAACGCATTGTGTTTTTTTCCTCTTCCATCTTAAAGGCTTTAGAGGGGCAGCAGTCGCAGCGTGACGTGCTCATCACCGCACTGCGACGCCTGCGCTTCCAGACGATTGTGCTCGACAGCATTTCAAGCCGCGCGGGATCGCCCGTGGATGCCGCGATATGCACTAAAACAATGTCGATCCTTGCAAAGGCCCATGGGGCCCTTAACGTCAATATCGGTGGCGGCGGCGGCGGAGGAGGAGGAGGAGGAGGAGGGGGAGGGAAGTTCATGACGCTTGTGTACTTTGCGGCGAATGCGTACATATCCTCCGCGTTGGAGTGGGCGCATGACGCCGGGTGTGGGGTTTGTTTTGTCGTTTACAATGGCGACAGTGTGGCCGATGAGCTGATGGCGTACGTGAGCCCCACGTACGGTAGCGGCGGTGGTATTGCGACGATTGCAAAAGGAGAGGGGATTAACTTTATCCCCAACACGGGGGCCGCAAGTGCCGCCTTGGCGGCTTTGCAGCACGAGGGCAAAGAACTCCCACTAGCTGTTCTGATGCAGCTTAAACAACTGCAGCAGCGACTGACAGGTGGTGATGCTCAGGTGGGGAACACACGGAATGCTGCCGCCGTGCCTGGGACGGATTCTTTGGCATCATCACTAATTCCGTCTGCGTCTGCGGGTGGGGCGGCTTCACTGTTGTCACCTGCGGATGCCTCTTCCCGTCCGCACCCGCCGCCCATTGCGGGTGCCCCCGACCCTTTCCTTCCCGATGACGATAAGTCTGCGGACAAGAAGAAACAGCACACGACCGCCATAGATGCCACTGCCCCCTCATCCACCAGCACGGAGGAGCCGAAGTTGGACACGCTCACGCTGGGAGCCGCGAAGAACACGGGAGATGATGCGAAACAAACGGCACACGTCCTGCCGGCGGCCGGCACGACGACGCCCATGCGTGCTACGGCCACTCCGGATGTCGCAAAGCCAGCAGAAACAGCAACGACACCCGTGAGTATGGCGATGAATACAGCACCACCGTTGCCACATGCACCCACTGCAACGACCGATGCCCAGCCAAAAAGCACGGCAGCTTCTGCTTTTCCTGAGCCGGAGGTCTCCACGCGTCTCCCAGCCGGTTGGACCCTCATGTACGATCGGCAACGACGTCGTCACTTTTTTTTTTACACAAACGCCGACCGTGTGGTGAAGACCACATGGACTCACCCAGGCGGTCTCGAGGAGCAGATGGACTTGGAGCGCCAGGTGGAAAGCTGGCATCGAAAGCAGCAAGAGCGTCGTCAGGCTGAAGCAAATGGAAATGAACGGAATGATCATACGAAACCAACGACGACAAGTACGGCAGCGGAGGTAACAACAGGAGCAGCTAGAGATTGGGATGAGTGTGTCGACCCCAAGAGCGGACGCAAGTATTACGTGAATCGGTATACCAAACAAACCTCATGGACACTTCCAACAGCAGTAGCGAGTGTGACTAGCAATAACCCTGCAATGAATGCGGCAGAAGTGAGACCAAATCCGATGGCCGCCACACCGAACACCAACATGCTGCCGCCGTTCTGGGAGGAGTGTGTTGACCCAAAGAGTGGACGGAAATTTTACGTGAATCACCAAACACGCGAGACAACATGGACGCGGCCGCAAGCGACTCCCGTCACGACACCACAACACGTACCGCAGCCGCACGCGCTGACACCGTCACACGCTGTCGCCCCCGCTTCTATTATCACTGCGCTGCCGCCGTTCTGGGAGGAGTGTGTTGACCCAAAGAGTGGACGGAAATTTTACGTGAATCACCAAACACGCGAGACAACATGGACGCGGCCATAAAAAAGAAAAAAAAAAAGAAAAAAAAGCGGGGGTGGGTGGGTGGGTGAGTGGTGGATGGCTGCTTTATGTTCTCTCTTTCCTTCTTCCTTTGTTTGGTTTGCGAGTGTATTTGTTTGTGATTGTGGCTGACGTTTTTTTTTTTTTTTTTCGTTTTTTTTTTTTTGTTTTATGTGTTTGCCGAAGAAGAAAACAGGGGGGAAAAAAAAAAAAGGAAGAAAGAAAGAAAGGGAATTCATTTGCGGAAAAATAAACAATAAAAAAAAAAGGGGGAAAAGTGGCGGAAATCCGACGGAAGACACATACACACGCACATACACACACAGAGAGAAAGAGAAAGAGGGAGTGAAAGGGAGGGAAAAAGGAATATACATTTATATACATATATATACACATTTATATATATTATAGCTGCTTAAAGTAATATTGACTTGCATTTTTGCCTGCGCCAACCCCTTTATTTCCTTTTCACCTCTTGCCAGTGCAGGTGTGTTTGGAGCATGCAAACAGTAGACAAAAGCGCCGACGCCGTCCACAACGCCGACGATGTCGACATGCGGAAAAGTGTGAACGCTTTGAAAGGAAAGGAGCCCGCAGCTGCACTCGCAGTTGCCTCTGAACCACATGTCGATAAGGCGGATGTTTCACTCTTTCCCAGCCCAGCCCACGGAAAAAATGAGAACGGCGGTAGTCGAGGGGGTCATCCGGCATACACGGATGAGGGACGACCGAGTCATGCATCGAGCGACGTTCGGAAGACTAACACCAACGAGGGTTTTAAAACGAATCGTTGCGATGCTGCGGGGGGGCCCTATCAAAGTGAGGGGATTTCAAATCCGTCTGAGTATTTGCGGTGGCGACACCGGAGAAAAAATTTGACTTCCGCGGATTATTGGCGAGCGGCGGAGAAGGAGCGCGTCATTGGCCTTGGCACGGTCGGTCTTTTTCAAGACCAGCAGCCTGACAGCCCCCCGCCTGGAGAGGCGTCTGCGTGCGTCAATGGCACCATCATCGTGGGGCCACCGGGGTACGTGCGGAAGGTCAAAGACTACAATGATTGGCGTGAGAAGCACAGTGAACTTTTCTCCACCTTGAGAAATCAGGATGAGAGGGAGCGGCAGTGCATGCGTCTGCGCCGGCTCCACGAGAAGGCAAGACAGCAGGAAGAAGAAGAATATGAATATGCCTCCGCCGTCAGACGTCTGCGTAGGCGCGGGTGGTCGGTGTTGGGGAACGCTCCACGACAAGTGGATCACACACGGTTTAACCAAATAAAGGCCGAGCGTGAGGCCTTTCGTGCGGAATGTGAAGGGAATGTGGTGCGCAAGATTCAAGAGGCCTCAAAGCAACGTGAAAACATCTTACAGCAAATTGCCATGTATAAAGAAGAGAAGGCACGTCAGGAGAATATTGTGCGGGATGCCGCACGGCAGGAGCGCGAGGAACAGAACGCCAAACGAGAGGAATATTTAACGCTCCTTAAAGAACGGGCAGCCAACACGCGGGCGATAGCTGAGGAAGAGCGGGAGTTTATTCGCGAGTGTGCGGCTACGGAAAGTAAATATCGGCAGAACCGTATCGAGATTTTGCGTGAACGCGTCTTTGCAAAGACGTATACGAGCGGTCTTCTCACCAACCTCTCAGGCACCTTGTGTGGAGGTGGCAGGCAGTACCCACCGGGGGACTGGCGCAACACCTTTAAGAGTCCGCTGCGGCGGCTACCCAACGCCGGCGACGATGCCTTTCGTAAGCAGTGGGTAACGGAGTTGCAGGAGGAGCGGCGGGCGGTGGCACGGGCGGAGGTGGAGCGAACGAAACGTCTGCAGACATCCGCCCAACGCGAGGCCGCATACCGCGACAATTGTGAGCGTGCAGAGGCCCTCCGCAAAGAGAAGGATGCATTGCGGGAGAGGAAAAAGCAGCAATGCGAGGAAGTTCAGTTGTTTCACAAAGCTCTACGTCAACAGGAAGTGGAAGGACAGAAAAGACGTGAAGAAGTCCTCCGTGCACTGCGTGAGTCAAAGCGGGAGACGGCCTCGATTATTCGGCAAGCCATAGAAGAAGAAGAAATGATGTTTCAAACGCTGGAGGATGAAGAACTGCGGCAACTGCAGGAACGCGTGGCACAGATGAAGAAGAATAAAACGTTTTCACCTCGAATGGCTTTATCACCTCCTGCAGAAAGAGTTTTATAACCAAATTGTGTGTATGTATGTATGAACACCTGCTACATCCTTTTTCTTTATGTGTCTATGTATATGATGTATATATGTTATTTCTACCGTCAGATTCGGAATTTTATCCTCTATTGTACGCCTATAATCACTTGATTTTCGCAAACGCTTTGTGTCTTTGTTCTGCCCCATAAGACATTTCTCTGGTCTTCCTGTTTGGAAAAGAAAAAAAGAAAAAAAGAAGAAAGAAGGCGAGTTTGATTTGATTTTTGGTGTTTATTTAAAGGCGCTCTTGTTTGCTTGTTTGTAACACTACTACTACTACTACTGCTGCTGCTGCTGCTGCTGCTGCTACCCAAGAAAAACGGGTTGGTAGGACGATTATTATCACGGGATTTTCTTGGGTGATTCATGTATCATGCGTCTTATTCCCATCCCTCTTTCCCCCACTCCCTGCAGACACAAACACACAATGAAATGAACAAAAAATATACATGTATGTATATGTATATACATGTATGTATACGTGTGTCTGTGGCTGCATGTGTGTATGTACATATAAATGTTATTATAACGATGCCGGGTGCAATAAATAAAAAATATATGAAAAAGAAAATAAAATAAAAAAAGATTCAGCCCAATTATTATTAATAATATATTTTTCTCTGTGTGTGTATTTGAATTGACTGCGTTTTTAACTGTTTTTTTTTTTTGTTGTTTTTTTTTAGTTGTTGTTTTGTTTTTGTCTTTCTTCTTTTTTCTTTTTTCTTCATTTTAAAAGAAACGAAAAAGTTGACGGGGTTAGACGGGGGGGGGGAAATGAGAATAAAAATAAAATTTTGCCTGTTTGTTTGTGTTTGTGTTTGTGTTTGTGTGTTGCATGTCTCTTTTCTTTTTTTTTTTTTTTTTTTGGTTTTTTTTTCTCTCTGTATTCCCCCTTTTTTATTTATTTATTTATTTATTTTTGTCTTTTATTTATATATGAGTTGAGTTCCTTCTGTTTGTTTGTTTGTTTTGCGTTGCTCATGTTGTTTACATGCACCTCAGGCACTTTTTCCTTTTTTCTTTTTTCTTTTCTTTCCCCCTTTCGCACCCTCTTATTTGTCTGTTTACATTCTGTGCTTTCTGCTCGCACAATCGCGGTGTGGGGCGGGGTGGTACGCCGTGCGGCATCGCCCGTGTGTTGTCGTTTTCAGCTGCCGCTTCTTTTTTTTTTTTTTTTTTTTTTGCTTCCACTCTTTCTGTTCTTATATGTTTTGTTGTTTTTGTTTTTTCTCTCCATTTCTGCGTGTGTTTCTTTGGTTGGTGGTGGTGGTGGTGGTAGCGGAAGGTGGGGGGGTGCCTGCGTGCCTGCGTGTGTGTGTGTGTGTGCGTGTGGGCACGTGTCTAGGAGCAAAAGCGTCACGGAGGGAAGGGAGCACAGAAGCAAAGCGAGAGAAAAGGGGAGTTGGGAGGTAAGCCGCCGACATTCGTGCATACAAGCGAGCATACATACATACAGATTGGTAGATAAATAGATGCGGCCGTTTCTTTATTTCTGCGATGCGATAGGGAGGGGTGGTTTTATTATTACTGCACGGAGCGGACGACGTTCATTTTTTCCCTCACCGCCGCCGCCGCCACCATTTCCGCCGGGAATTCGTCCGGCGCCTGCAGCATCCGATGCAAAGCCGTTTTGTAGAAGCCGTGATGATGTGGTAAAAGATGTCAACTTACCGCCAGACGCAACGATGTTTGAGACTTCCATGCCACTTGAAAAGAGAGACGCCAACAGCAAACACACGGAAAAATCGCAACATTTTCACCCTCATCGACCTTCCTTCTTGTCCCCTGAAAAAATTTCCAAGCATTTCCCAATGTCTGCCAAGTTTGCGGCATCAATGGCAGATGTGCTGAAGATTCCGGTACCAAACAAAAATGGGTTAGTGGCGGAACCATCAGCGACACTCATACAGGAGTACAGGGAGCACACCGTGCTTGGTTGGTCCCCTGCTCAACTCTACGACGTTGTAGCGGATGTCTCACGGTACAGTACATTCCTTCCATGGTGCGTGGAATCGACTGTACACGAAGTGAGACGCCTCGATGATACGAATACGGCTGATAACAGCAGCGGCAGCAGCGGCAGCAGCAGCAACAGCAAGAGTAGGGCCAGGGATGGGGGCGGCATTTGTAGTAGCGGTGATCCAATGGAAATGACGGCCACGCTCACCGTTGGATTCTCCTTTTTTAAAGAGCAATACACCTCTCGTGTGTTACTTGTGCCCGAGAAGAAAGTGCAAGCTGTTCTTAAGGAGAGTGAGACGCAGCGTCGCTGTCCTGTTCTCACGGAGCTTAACTGCGTCTGGGAATTCAGCCCTGTGCCAGGACAACCGCGACAAGTGGAGGTACGATTTCTCATCCGCTTTGCCTTTCATAACCCCTTGTATTCCAAACTAATCATGTCAAAAGTGGTAACCCTCATGACGCAAAGTTTTGAAAATCAGTGCGAGAAACTCCACGGCCCACCAAGTTGCCAACGTGAGCACCTCGTCACTAAATAAAAATAAAAATAAAAATAAATAAATAAAAGGAATACACACTTATACATACACACATACACACATACACATATATATATATATAAGATGAGAGCGACTTGATTTTAAAAGTCCAATGTTATGCTACCCAAAAAAAAAAGGAACGAAGGGATCAAAGAAAAGAAAAGAAAACGAAACACATGCACACATACACAAAAAGTGGGGAATGCGATGAAGCGGGACAAAAGAAGAAAAAAAAAAAAAAAAGAAGAAGAACAAAAATGAAGTCCAATACAACTGAAAGCGGTTAAAAAGCGACGGTAGTTGCGTCTCCTTTTGAGGAAAGTGTTTGATTGATTTATTTATTTGTTTATTCCTATCCATTTATACATATATATATATGTATGTATATATATATATATATATATATATATATATATATACATATGAATGGATTTGCTATCGATGCTTTCCTTTAATATGTGTGTTTGTTTGTGTGGGTTTGGGTGTTTGGACATACATTTTGTTTTTGTTTTTTTGTTTTTTTTGTTTTGTTTTTTTTACTGTTTGTTGTTGTTTCCTTTCATGCTTGGAATTTAATTAATTTTTATCGTTGACGACTATGTGTTGTTGTTGCGTGAAAGTCGTCAATATTTTTTTATTGCTGCCGCATCACACATTTTGGTTACAGCGGTTTATGATTTTCTAATTTTAGAATGACCGTGTGGACATGCATACATGCATACATGCTTATATATATATATGTGTATATGAATGTGTGTTTGTGCATGTGCAGACGCTCTTTCTAAAAATAAATCTTGTATATATATATATATGAATGTGTGTGTGTGTGTGTGTGTGTGTGTGTGTGTGTGCTTAGCTCTTGCCTCTATCTGTGTGTGGATTTTCTTCTTTTGTTTATTTCAATCCCTTTTCCCCTCCCCTTTTCCACTCCCTCTGCTCATATTTCCCTCCTGCATCCATCTAACTTTTGTCTGTTTATGTGGCATTTAATAGAGAGGGAGAGATAGATAGATAGATAGAGAAGGTGGGGGGGGGTGGAGGGATGCGATTGGCTACAAGTGGGTTAAAGCTGCAGGAGAGCACCGAGAGAGAAGAAAATGCGGGAGAAGTGGCAGCAGCTCTCATTGAAGCAAACAGTGAGTTAATGACACTTTTTTTCCGCCACATTGCAGTTTGCCCACCGCACGGACCTTTCAAGTATTACAGCGCCATCACCTTCACGGAGAGGGTGCGTCGTTGGATTGCGGCAAATGGTTCGGAAAGAAACATTGTGACGCTGCAAGGATTAACCCCAACGGCGGTCCTTCACCTGATGGAGAAGTATTACAATACAAATCACCTACGAAGCTGGCCGTTGTTGTATGTGCCTGCTGAGATACGTCTGAAGGACGTGCTTGCGCTTCTGGGTGAGGAAAAGTGAAAGAGTGAGTGAGAGCGAGAAACACACAGTGCGGCGCATTTGTCACTTACACAAACATGTACCGTCTTTTTTTTTTTTTTTTTTCTTCCCCTCTCTAATTGTTTCTTTCTTCATACGTTTTTTATGTTGTCTTTTTTATTCTTTCTGTTTGTTGTTGCCCGTATGCCTGTGTGTGTGTGTGTGTGTGTGTGTGTGTGTAGGAAGTTTGTTTGTTTGTTATTTGGGAAATTTTTAAGGAAACCTTAAGAGTGTCTGGTAAATGTTCTCTTCAAATTTTGAGGGTCCCCTTCTGCGCCGCTCCATCCCATTCGTGGAGCGCTGGATCGCCGAGCTTGTCGCCGCAAGAGAAGCGTCCCTCGGCGCCACGAAGAAGAATGCAACACCGGAAGAATCCCCACAAGCGGTCGGCGTAAAGGGAACGAAAAAGGACGGGAGGGCTGCCACTGTCGCTGCTGCTGCTGCGGAGAAGGAGGAGGCATCTGGCAGCAGTATGTCCAAGTGTCACTTTGTGATCGGCAAGGTACTTGATGTCCGTCCACACCCAGAGAGCACGAAGTTATACATCGAGGAAATTGAGCTTGGCGAGCAGGCGGGGGGACGTCGCACCATCCTTAGCGGCTTGCAAGAGTACGTTAAGCAGGACGAGTTTATAAACCGTCTGGTGCTTGTCATTGCGAATCTGGAGCCGCGAAAGATCGGCGGTATTGTTTCAGAAGGCATGGTGCTTTGCGCCTCGCGTACAGAGGGCAACACGCGGGATGTCAAGTTATTGGAAGTGCCAGCCGGTACGCCCGTCGGCGAACGTGTTGTGTTTGACGGTCACGACGGGCCGTTTGTGCCGGTGCTGAAGAAGAAGTTGGCGAAACACTTTGAAAAGGTGGCGGTTGACCTCAAGACGAATGAAAAGGGTGAGGTAATGTGGGGTGACATGCCGTTTCGTACGAGCCACGGCATCATTACGGCACCCATACCGAATGGGGTCGTGTCATGATGAACGTTGCATTTTTTTTTTTTTTTGCATGCGCCGAACAGGAGACGGAAGGGAAAGGAAAACCCTCCCTCCCACTCCCTGTGTGTGTGTGTGTGTGTGTGTGTGTGTGTGTGTGTGTGTGTGTGTGTGTGTGTGTGCGTGTGTGTGTGTGTGTGTGCGGCGGATGAGGTCTCCATCTATTCCTCACCAGGACGGAGGAAAGGAAAGGGTCACACAACAATAGAAGGGAGGAATGAAGGTAACGTGGTGGGGGAAATGATGGACCGAATATGTGTACACAGGCTGGAAGGGGAGTAAACGTGGTCGAGAGGGATGGTAAGGAAATACAAACAAATAATGCATAGGAGGATAAGGAGGAGAAAAGAGGGATAATTGTGCATACCGCATATATAATATGTACATTGCATGTATTTATGTGTGCATTTATACGCATGTGTGTCTTGACTCTCCTGTCTTTGTTATTTGTTCCACACGGCATTAGAGAAGAAGCGTTGGAGAGGGCTTGAAGGAGTCTCTTCTTCCTCTTCCCTTTTTATTCTTCTCAGGGTGTGAGGATGAGGCGGCGGCGCGCCCATCTTGGCTTTGTTGGCGTATTGCGTCCCGTTCTATCTGCTCCTGTCGTGTTGGCGCTTCTTACTTTTCCGTTCATTGTGTGGACATGACAAACTGATCCTGAGCCTGCTCTGCCGTCGCAGCCGACGGTGAGCAAAGTGATCGCCCCTGCTGCCGCTCAAGGCAACATTCATGAGGACTCGTTAACGGTAGTGGTGGTGTCATATCCAATGACGAGGCGACGAAATTGTTTGTTGCATGTTTTGAAGGCCACTCTGTATGATTGGCCGAAGGATGAGGGTCTTGTCCATGAGGTGCTGCTCGTGTGGAATGGCGTGAAGGAAACGGTGCCAGACGAATTGCTTGCGTTGAAATCGAGGCGCGGCAACCACCCAATTCCGTGGCGAATCGCTGGCTTGTCGCCTCTCTTCTCCGCACCGAGGCTGTGCTCAACATCGACGATGATATGAACGTGTCGTATGATGCGGCACGGTGCATGTTTTCAATTTGGTTGCGATCCCCCTCTTCGCTTGTGGCGACGGACGTGCGGGCCATTGTTGACTGCGGCAAAACAATGGAGCAGCGTAAGTACAACCTTTCGTTTGTTTATGTGGCACGAGAGCGGCTGCGAGGGATAGGCCTATCGCACAGGGTGGCTTTGCCACGGGCTCTTCTCTCCTCGCGTGTATACTACGTTGTCTTTGGGGAGTCTTTTACCGGGCTGTTAGTGTGCCCACGTACCCCAGCCTGACGAGTTCCACGTCCACTCGACAAGGTCCCATCCGTCTTATAGTGGAGGAGTTGCTCTGCGGTGGCATTGCCTTCAACTACGCGGCGGCGAATGCCTCCGTTTTTTTCTTGTGGTCGCATGGAACGTATTCCGTGCGTCAACGTCGGATAAAGGCCACCCCAATTCTGGTAGAGGCTGCTGTGAAGTCGTTTCCGGATTCTAGTGCTGCTGGGCCCTCACGTTGGAGTCTGGTGTGAAGTTGAGGCGGCACGAGTGCGCAACACGGCTTTCAATGCTCTGCCCACCGAACGGGGGCCGCACCCCCTTCCGTCCTGCGCACCAAATTTCGCAGGCAACGTGCACCGTTGGCAGATAATGTGAAAAAGAAGGAATGGTGTGTTTCCCTGTTGTAACTGTTTGTTCACTTTGGGTCCCCGCTTGTTTTCCCGACTGCTGTCGCTTTGCGTAGCTGCCACGAATGAAGAGAGAACTTAAGCTAATTTCCCCTGTCCTTGTTTCCGTGTGGCTCAATGGCGGGGCATTTTGACTGCGGACGGGAGGGATGCACGTTCGAGTCTCGTCGCGGATGTGTTCCTTTTCTCCCCTGCCATCGCTCTCCCTCCTTCCTGTGTGTTCATCCCTCTCTGCTCCCCATTTGGACCTTTTCATTTTTTGCAATTGGCGAGGAAGCTCTTTCTGTGGCAAAACCGCATTTCCAGTCGCGATAGTGTAATGCCGGTGCGAGTCTTCGTGACGTTGCCTCCCGCGGACGGACCGGCCGTGACGGAGGAAGTGCTGGCGCAGCAGGTGATGCAGGAGTTCATGGCAATGCGTCACGCCGGGTCGTCGGTGGAGCTGCTCTGCTCCGTGTCCTCCGCGCGCCTGCAGCAGACGATTGCGGAGCGCTACCCACTCGCGTACAATCGTCTTTTATTGGAGGGGCGTTGGCGCGGCAAGTGGCATTTCTTTGCGGAGGAAATTGTGGGACTGCGCTGCTTCCTCTACACACTGAGGGACTACGCTGAGACTAGAGATCTGGAGGTTCACGTCGCGTTCAGCGAGCTGCGGTGCTGTGTGAAGGACGAGGATGCCCGCGCGGTGCGGCAGGCGGACGGCAGCGTTGGCGCGCTACTGCGGGAGCATCTTCTCCAGAAGGACGCCTTGCATCGCTGGTGTGACGAGGCGGTGAAGGCGGCGCAGGCGGACGGTGGCGCGGGGGGTGCTGATAGAGCCCTGTGGCGGGCGCCTCCCCCTGCACCGGCCCCTGATGAGGCTCGCGAGGCAGTTGCGTTCCTACGGGTGCGAGGGTGGAAATTTTGGGTGGCTTCGGCGCCGCGCCGCGAGGGAGGTTGCAGCGATCATGACGGCGAGCGACACGCCTGCGCGGCACATGAGTGCACTGCGGCTCCGCCGTCACGTCGTCCATTGTCTTCAATCGTGGGTGCCGGCGAACTCCGGCAGGCGATCCGCGAAGGACCTCTTCATGGCGGCCATGGGGTAAGAAGCGAGGGAAGGGGAGGGAGAGGAGCCACGCGTTGCGGAAAGGGTGCGGGCTGCTGCGGCCGCACCTCGTTGTCGTCACTTCAG